TTCGCTAATGTTTGGTGTTGTAATGACGATGTCATCAGCAAAGTGAAGATGTTGTAACTACCGACAATCGATTTTCACTCCCATATTATCTCATTCCAATGTTCGCATGACATTCTCCAGGGTGTCCGTAAATAATTTTGGCGAGATGAGATCGTCTTGCCTAACACCTCTTTTGTCGTCGATGTTTATATCGTTGCAGAATGATGACATTCTGGTCGTGAAACTTTTGTACAGCTCGCGAAGATTTTTTACATACTGAGCATGGACTCCATGACTATCAAGGGCTTTCATGACTGCTTCTACCTCAGTTGAGTCTAATGCCGTCTTTAGATCGATGAAAATGAGGCAGAGCAGTCTTTTGCTCTCTCGCGGTACTTCAGCGGGTCTTGTTAACGTGTGGATGTAGTCCATCGTACTAAATCCTTTTCGAAACCCTTCTTACTCATATGGCTGTCTTTCGTCCAGAGTTCTGTCAATCCAGTTTGGGATTACTCGAGAGAAATGTTTGTAGACGAAATACAGCAAGCAGATTGGGCGACAGTTGCCGATACCGCGTAGGTCACCCTTCTTGAACAAAAACACGGTCTTGCTGGTCTTCAACTGAGTAGGGACTTTGCATTCAGGCAGGTAATGTGTGAACAGTCGAGCCATCATGTTTATGAAGACTGGCGGAAGGTTCTTCAGGTGTTCAGGTCTTCTCCTGCCCAGACCTGGAGCTGTTCTAATTTTCACCGACGAAATGGCATGTCGGATTTCGGATGGCAGAACAGGTGGTACAACGTAGCAATCCTCCTTGACGGATGGCGGAAGGTGGGCGTGGCTATCGAAGAGATCTGAGTAGTATTAGTGAAAGATTTTTTCCATTGACTTTCTGGATGTTGTAACTGTTCCGTCTGGGCGTCGGAATGCAATCATCTTGGTCTTGTAATTGACGAAGCTTCGATGGGCTTTGCAAATGCTTTTCCCAGCGTGCAGCTCCGATCATTACTGCTGTTCTTCTCTCTCTAAAATATTCTTTTATCGCCTGTCTGCACTGTTTTGCAAGTTCGGACGTTAGTTCGCGGTTACCTGCAGCTCGTGCGGTTCCATGCTGGCGTATAAGCTCGTGTGTTTCCAGAGACAGGCGTCTCTTGGTGACTTTCGAACTCTCAGCTTTCATAGCGCTAACGTGAAGATGTTGAATGAGCCGTTCGTATTCTTCGTCGATGTTATCGACAGCGGCGTCATCCCAACAGCCGACAAATCAATTGAATAAGTCCAGTTTATAGTGGTCCTGCGGGCGGCTTCGGCTTTTGAATTTAGGAGCTTTTTGTCCTTTCGGCGAAAAATAGTCTTGCACGAAGGAGGCGGTGGTCGAACCCTGTGCAGAATTTTGGGACAATAGCGAAATCGGTTAGGTAAAACCTTCTATTTACTACGACGTGGTCTATTTCGTTATGGTGCTCTCCACTGGGAGATTCCCCCGTCCAGCGTTGAGAGTGGAGCTCCTGGAATTGCGAGTTACTATGGATGGTCAGCCGCTCACACTCTTCGTTCCATTCTAATCCATGGGCCCCAATGTGACGTTCTTCTTGGTCCAATCTTGGCATTGAAATCTCCAATGATGACCTTAAAGAATGCAGGTCGTCTCTGTAGAACTTTTCCGAGTCCATATAGAACGTTTCGACTTCTTCGTTATAGTTTGATGTCGGCGCGTAAACGACGAAGATTGTCAAAACCGGTATTGAGCCACATCTTTTAATTGTCGACATCCAATTCGAGTTGTTAGTTGTTCGAATTAATCGTTGTTCATGGACAAACTCATGTTGACGAGAGCACCGACACCGCTGACTCCTCTACTGTCGCATGTTCTGAGGAACAGTTCTTCTCCGGTGTCATAGACGGTGTTGAATAGGTGGCGTCGCCTCGTCTCGGCCAGGCCGATGACGTCGTTCTTTATCCTTGCTTGCATGAGTAAGTCTTTTATCGAAGACTCGGATGCAGGTGTACGTGCATTGTAGGTACAGATCGTCACCATAGTTCTTCGTGATCCAGGCAGCTTCCATTGGCCCTAAGATTTTAGCGGCCTCTCCGTATTCGTCCTATCCAACGCTGAGAAATTGGGGCTCTTGCGGGGTCAGGGGAATATGGCCCATTTCTTTTACTATGTTTAGCTTTTTGATACCCACGTATGATTTGCTGTGCTGTGACCGTGGGGACTAGGTATACTCATGGATAACTTCCCAGTCTGTCACAGAGTGGACATGGAGTTATTTGCTGGAGGCGATTCCTAACAGTTTCACTATATACTTCCCTGTCACTTGGTTGCAGGCTTTTGGCCGAATCGACTCGTAGAATACAATCCGCATAAGCAAGAGCGCTCCCACAGACATATGCATGAATACGTTGGGTAAATACAGAAAGTATGCGCCAAATCGGCGCAGCGGAAACAGGGAGTCCATCCCTGGATCCATGTACGTCTCAGGGAAGCAAAGGTCGCTTTTAGTCCGCGATTAACCACCTATCCGCCACCTGGAGACGCGCCACGTGCCTCCCGACTAACTGGCTCGAGTTCCCTCATGCGAGGGAGATCCGTGGGTCCTAAGCTAGAAGGCAGAAAATTCAAAATGCAGTTTTAGCACTGAACGCATTGGTAAATTTGCTTTCAATGTAGATCTATGGGTGAGTTAGTTTATTTCAGAGAGAATTTGTGAGCTGCACACGGTATGTGTGAACGGACTGCATGTGCAAAAGAGGAACTGAAAAACTGAAATGGCTTCCCAATAAACTGCCATTGGCACAGAGTCAAGAATGTGGTGACGGTTTTCATTCTGGTTATACTCTTCAAAAAAGTTTGTAGCACAAGGAATGAAATTAAAGGAGTTAATTACAAACAAGCAAAAAATGATTAAAGTAGACAGATGTAAAATAAATAAAAAGTAAAGCACAAATAATCAGATTAAATTAAGACAAATTAAAAACTATTAAAGATAAATAAATAATTGTAAAATAAAAATAATTAGAAACGGGTAGAAAATAATTTAAAACATGCGAAAATAATTTTAAAAAATTAAAAAATCGGTGAAGAAAGTGAAGAATAAATGAACTAGCTGAGAGACAGGCGAAACGAAGGACCCGCATGTTGTGGTGGTGAACGCTTTACTCCCCGGAAAGGACAATAGCGCGTTCGTTCCCCACTGCAGACATCTGTTGTCCGGAGTTTTGCAAGTATCTCAGCATCATTGAAGTTATATTTCGCAACATACCCTGCCATTAAAAAAATAGGCAGTAAATAAAAAAGTTGAGATTGTAATTAAAAAATAGTTTGAGAACGGCTTAAATTGAATTGAGAATAAACAAAAAAGAAGTAAAAAATGAATTAGAAATGAATGATAATGAAATAGAAATTAAAAATATTTAAAAGCAAGCTAAAGGTAAATAAGAAGTTAATAGAAATAAGTTAAAAAATTAAAAATGAACCAAAAACGATTACAAATAACTAAAAATTAGACAGAAAAATCAATAACAGAATTGCAAGCAAGTGAAATAAAAAAAACAAAATTGAATTAAAAATAAATAAAAAGCAGCTAAAAAGGAACTAAGACTGACTAGAAGTAAATTGAAAATAAAGTAAAAGCAATTAAAAATCGATAAAATTAACCCAAAATTAAAAACAAGGATAAATGAAAATTCAACAAAAAGCAATTATAAATAAATTGAAAATACGTGAAGATGAGTTAAAATAAATTAAATATAACTGGAAAAAGCAATAATGGAATAGAAATAAAAGAAGGTAGTAATATTTAAAAGTAATTAGAAGTTGAACAAAGCTACTCAAGATTAAATCAATAATAAAGAAAAAATAAATTTGAACTAAAAGCAAATATAAAACAACTAAAAATAAATAAAAGATTGACACCAATTAAAATTGAACTAAAAATAAAGTAGAAATTCAAAAAATTAAAAATAGATGAGTATAACTTAAAAATGAAGAAAAATTGACAGAAAACAAACAGAAGTAAGTGATTAAAAAATATCCCGAATTTATCTGGAAAGAAAGAATTCCGCAGGCTGTTAACAGTGACGAGTAATACACGGAAGCAGCAGAAGCAGAGCAATGGAGAAGAGTAAGCCTTATGATTCTAGTTGTGCAACAGCTGTGATTCTGGAATAATTCTTAGCAATTATTCTAACTTCTGAAGACTTTTCCATATTCGGCGCACTACTTTCACTTCCTCTTCGGGACCAAATGCCAGTGGCAACTGCTCAAGAAACTTATAGTGACCAAAATTCTGCCGAAGGTTACTTAACTGTAACCTACTTAACCGACACCTAACTGTTCCGGAGAAAGCGGTAATATCCTTTAAATGTCAATAACTCTATGACTCGTGCAAATTATTTTGTATTATCTTAGTTTTCAGTTATATTTTATTCATTTTAACCTGCTTTTAATTTAATTTTGCTTGTTTTCATTTTCTATTTTTTAAAGTTTATTCTTAGTTGTTCTGTTTTGTTTTGTTTTCTTATTGATAAGTTATTAATTTAAATTTGAACCTAACCTTTAATTGTTTTTACAATTCCTGTCCATTTTCTATTCTTAATTTACTTCTGTTTATTTTTGCCTTATTTTTGCATTCATTTTTATTTGTCCTTTTACTTTTATTTATTTTCAATTTTGACTTAATTTGTTTATTTTTATTTACTTTTCATTTATTTCTAAATCGGTTTTAATTTATTTTCTCTTTGTTTTCGATTTTTTTATTCTTTAAAACTTATTTTCAATTGTTTTTAATTTTTTCTAAATCTAACTTTATTTTTTATCCGCTTTTTGTTTGCTTTTTATTTTCATTCCTTCTTAATTTGGATTGAACTTATGTGTGTTTGTTTATTTCTTTTTATTTTTTATTTGCTTTTAATTCTTTTGTTTTTAATTTCCCTACTTTTTAAAATTTACTTTCGATTGTTTTTGTTTTATCAGAAGTATCACGTACCCTGTTATTAAAAAGCTTGTGTCTGCTGAAGTTACGTGGCTGGGTGATCACAATATTCATGTGAGCATCTCCAGATTTCGGCTGTTTACGGCTTATTCGCTAGAATTTAGTGACGCGATCTTGCTTGTGGTCAAAATACATTTGTGATTAATTTGGGAATTTCAACTTGCACATATTGTAGGGAAGTGTGACTAGAAGTGCCCTACAATGAACACATAACCAGTAGTTCGATCTCCATCACCAGACAACTAAGCCCTTCATACACACGCGTACGGCAAATTGGTGCCATAAGTGTCTTGAGGGGCAAAAACCGGTGGATCTGTGAAAGCTACTCTTTAGTGCAAATATGAGTTCAGTCGCCTCTACGATACTCATTGGTGTTGAATACATGGCGTATTCCTCTCAGAGATTGACCAATGTCGACTTCTTTATCGTTCTGTCTTTGTACTGTGATATTGTAACTTTGACCAAGCACTGAATAATTAACATAAATGCCGTTTCTGTGAAGTACTGTTTCGTGAGTGATTCAGAATCATTACTTTATTGTAATCTCGTTCGAATGAACACTTAGTATTGTAAACTGCAGTGTTCTTCGTTCAAGAACCAGTATTTTTCGCAGTGGAATAAAAGCCTTAAATAAGCGAAACGTCCTCGTGAATAATTCAACATACATTTAGTTAGCGCCATATTATTAAATCGGCGTTTGCAACATTACTCTTGTTATCAACGCATAGAGATTCACACGGAAATTTACACGTTTTGTATGAAAAACGCGACGTTAGAAAATCTGAATACGATGGTTTTCGCGGTCGCTAGCGACGACACTGCCGTCGAAGACGCACAACGCCTCAACGCCCTTCAGCTGGCCTGCACCGCCGCCCCATGAGCCGAACGTGCATATGAAGTCACCGTCCGCCGAGAACACCTACAAGCAAACGGGTTCCTCCGAATACGGTACTCTTGATGCTAGTCGAAAGATCACCGGGGAGAATGAACACCGTTATTAGACCGTATGTCAAAATTTGTTCGAAGTTCCGAGGAAAAAATTAACATTACTGACGGAAAGATTCGTAACTTCCTTCGCCAACGGTTAGTTTTCGTTTACTGCTTTTCATAAATCAGGTTGAGGACCACACTACTTAGTCAACGCATTCTTTTAATCTTCCTCCCAATGGTTTACCGCCTCATCGTGGCTGAGAGGTGTTCCCGGGTGTGGGACCTTGATGCAGTACAGCGGAAAGATTCGTCCCCCGGCAGGATCTCCCAAGCTGAGAAGGAGTTCAGCGTTTCTATCAGGAAGCCTAACTAAGAGTAGACCAATACCAGGATCTACCACCGCCCTAGTATCAAAGTTTTCTGATCTCCTTCTGACCCACAACGGCTGCGACTGCCTGTCGTGGTGAAGACCTGGGGCAGACTTTGGTCAGCGTGTGCTCAGGATTCCAGGGAACCACAATGGCTTAACTAGCAAGTCTCCAAAAAGTGGTGATTATGCTAGGACCCGCACAGCTAGTGAGGACGGGCTGTTCAAGTATCAAGTACCAAGTAAGTAAGTTTTTCATAAAATACGACCAAAGGACAGTATCATATGGTCTGAATTAGAATGCAATCTTACCTGGATACGATTGTTTCCTGAGTCCGCGACAAGAATATTTCCCTAAAATGAGCCGTCGTTGCTATTTTTAAAAGAAAAATGGGAAAAACGAATAAAACCGAATAAGAAAAAAGTATGTCCACCAAGGAAATAGCTACATAAGCTATTCTCTCATCAGGTCCTTACAAGTACGCAACACTAAAACTATGACGTGTTACCTGTGAGTCGACGGCTACACCACGCGGAAATTTGAACTGTCCACCTTGAAAGCCCTCACTGCCAAAGGAGTGAAGGTACGTTCCTTGAACGTCGTAGACGCATATTCTGTGGTTAGAAGAATCGGACACATAAACCTAAATTCAGATCTTCTTTGGGGCTTTCACAACAGCTATTTACAATTCATTAGCACGAACCCTGTTATCATAGTCACACAAAAGTTAACCAGGCTTAAAACCTAGTCAAAACATATCTCTAGCTTAATCAACAAAGTTGTGTCGTTTACAATGAGCAATATGAGATGAGCAGATGGATGATAATATACTTGGTGATTAGCATTGTTTACGGCGATGAATAAGGGATTGTGCAGTTGTCCTGGTCCATGCCCTTCTGTACCGAACTTCCCTACGAAGAGCCCGTTCTTGTCGAACATCTGCACCCTATGATTGTCCTAAACGAAAGTTATCTTTGCCGACAAACCATGAAGTTCGGTATGGAGTTAATTCCATTGAACCCATTTTTATGTAAGAATCACTACCAGGAGTGCTTTTTTGAATGAAAAAAAGAAGGAGACAGACATTCTCCACTTTTTTCCTGAATAGAACAGTTCAACACATTCGCGACTTCATAAGTCACTAATTTAGCCTTTCATTTTTAAACAACTTATCTAGACTCATGGTGAACTTTGTTAGTTGGCCAACAAAAATAATTATTTACACATATTTTGCCAAAGAAGAATTTCTTCTATCAAGACAAAATTCTGATCTAATAGAGCACACAAATGGTTCCCGTTTTGCCCTTCCTCTTGTCAAGGCTCACATTTCAAAGGACGAAGTAATTGAGGAAGTAATATTTCATCTATAAGGAAACCATGTTGCTTCGGAAAGCATCATAGGTGTTGGTGGGTGCCGCGCTACGTTAAGAATTAGAATCCCGGTTCCGACTTTTAAAAGAATTTAAAATCAAAGAAAAAACCTCCACAAGTACTCTAATCATCAGAAAATGATCCACAGTCATCAAAAATTTGCATCGTCGCTAAACTGCGATTGCAGTCTTGATTTGACTAAAATGTTCAATACAAGGCATACCTTATCAGCTACGTAGATCGTTCCTAACTCGTCAACGGCCACCCCCCATGGATTGTTGAACTTTCCATTCGATTGCCCATGACCTCCAAATGAATTGAGATAGTTACCTTCCATGTCGAAAATGCAAACACGATGATTATAACGGTCGGAAACGATCAGCTTATTCTTGAAAGCGGCAATTCCGGCAGCTGAGTCCAGTTGACCTCGACTGGTACCATAGCCACCAAATTGGCGTAAGAACTTGCCATCACGATCAAACACACACACTCGATGGTTACTGGAATCGCACACTGCTAAAGTTCCACCTCTGAGAACACAAACTCCTCGAGGCCAGTTCAGCTCGCCCTCCTTAGCTCCCTTCCGCCCGAAAATCATTCGTGGACAGCCGCGTGATCGCCATTCATTGGTTTCTCGCGAAGTGCTATGGCGTCGGAGACGTCGTTCTTCTTCGGTGCTAGTCGAGCTATCTAAACGGGAACTTCTCTCTTGAAGAAGTTGCTGCACGCGTTGTGAGCAGAACTGGTTAGCAAGGTCGGGGTTAGTTCGAGATCTCTGGAATTTCTGGCGTCTTCTTGTGAGCCATGCGGGTATCTCAGGCGGCTCACCTGCGAAATGCGTCACCGGAATTGGTATGGCGGTCGTCAGTAGTGGCGGCTCTTCCTCACGAGTAGTACTGGCGGCGCGACAAACGATCCGAATACGTTGACGTGGACGAGAAGCTTCTTCTGCTTCCGATTCGTCGCTGGAAGCTGCTCGAGAAGCAGCTTGTCGTTCGGCGTAAGCCCTCCTTATCAACTCTACCTTCTCGTTAAGAGACTCGTCGTTGCTCGATGCTTGCCTGGGGAGCGGAGGTTTTCGGGTGACGACCCGAGACTCCTCTGTGTCTTGTTTTGCCAATTCGGTGTTTCTAATCACCGGCGAAGGACTTAGTGGTGGCTTAGGAGATCTCGGAATCAGATTGGAATCAATTCGAGATTGAGTAGGTCGTTCTTCTCGTGGAAGATTCAGTGGTGCAGGCTTCCTTGCTTCATTACGCTCCTCTCGCCGAACACTGGATACCTGACAAAAAAATTTTATTTTAGTAAGAAAATCCGAAGATACGTGCAGGATTTTGTAGTCTATTGGGACCTCTAAGTAGTTGTAGTAGGTACAAAGGTATCAATAGGCCCGAAACTTCAAATAAGATTTCTAAATCAAAATAAGCGATATGGAATGAGAAAACCACGCGGTTTCACTCGTCAAACTATGCTGCTTGTACAGATAATTAATTCGTACTACTTCAAAAAGCCAACCACAACCACGGACTTCTTCAATTATTATGCAGAATTTATAAAAATACTATACCTCCTTAGAGTTTTCAGGTGCCGGAGTGGCATTGAGCGATGAACCTTCAGGTGGTTTTGACCATGGACTTCTTCCAACTTGAGAACCTTCCCGATCACCCGATGATACGCCACTGTTTCTCTCCACTGTTGCTGAAGTACCGCGAAGACGGTTCCAAGCTTCTTCTTCAAGTTGCTGACGTCGACGATACCGAATCGAGCCTTCATCCAGATCTCGAATACTACAAAAGTAATGTTGGAGCACTCTATAGGATAAGAAATGGTGGTGTATGAGAAAATGCAACACCATCATTCGAGTTTTGCTTAAGTGTTGTTTTAATGGATTTTTACAACTCCCATTTAACTCATTCTCCATGACATGCATTCGTTCTAATGAGTGTGATGCACATAAAATATCAACTTCTAAACCACTATGTCCCAACTCACGGTAAGCTTAATGAATTTAAGTAAGAATCAATAGAATCTACAGATCTTTGCCAGCTAAAAACATGTCCACTTAATATACATATAAAACCGTGATTTTCCGGTGTTAATAAAACGTATTTTTCGCTTTCTTTCGTCATATTTTGAACGCCATTGAACACATTGGATTTATTCCAGGGTGCTTCCCAAAGTAGTATTGTTTGTGGCAACCGCAGGTGCGTTACAAACTTGAAAAACTTGAGGATCGAGGTACGTGTTCTCTCCAAATCAGTGAAACTCTAAGCTCCTCAACTTCTCCAGAGATTGTCGCGAATGTGTTGAGAACGTGTCTGACTCGAGTGACTCGCACACATGATTCGTGACGTATTCATTTGATTTTGCTCAAAATACTTCTAACAAGTTATACAAATCGATTTCTCGCAGTTATCGATCTGCTTTCTAATCAGTAGATTTCTCACGTGAGTCGTGACGTCGGCCGATCGCGGTCGTTGGCACGTGCGTCTTCGTGACGATTGCGATGCAGGTCGCTCTCAAGTGGCAGACGGAACGGACGGGGCAAATACGACTGCTCCAAGGGAAGGTACCTGAAGTCGCGATAGGCATCAGAAGCTGGGCCATCCTCATCCAACACAACTGATGCTTTAATTTTGAATTTGCGAATAATGATATATATGAGCATTTTTTGTTTTCGTACAAACCCCTGAAATATGAAGCACTACTCTTTACAGTAATCAAAGATCGCAACATGTGTTCTCCACAGAATTACTAATACCAGCAACTCTTATTGCAGCATTTCTGGAAAATGGACGTTTAGTTTGAAGACCAAAAGTCCTCTTTTTTGAATACTAAAATGTTGACAGTGGACACAATCACTCTTACCTTCCGGCAAATTGTGGCACTAATACGCAAAGTTCACCGCACGTTGTGATAGCTTGTGGCAATCTGGCCGCGTCTTCACCTGCCGAAAACCGCAGCTTCCGATTGAACAGTTCATCTGCATCCGGCTAAACAACCATGAATGAAATCGTGTTCAGAAGTATAAAACTCAGTGCATCCTTTTTTTTAATTTGAGTTATTTCTCTGTACTTCCATTCGAATAAATCCTGAAGTCAAGTGACTAGGTCGGAGTTACAGGAGACCTCAGAGCCAAATAACAGAGGTCAGCAAACTACCTATAGGTATTTCAACTTATTATTTACTGCCTACTCTTTTTTAATAGCAGGCTATATTGCGAAATATAACTTCAATGATGCTGAGATATTTGCAAAACCCGTACAGCAGGTGTCTGCGGTAGGGAACGAACACGCTGCTGTCCTTTCCGAGGAGTAACGCGTTCACCGCCATGCCATGTGGGTCCTTCGTTTCGCCTGTTTGTATCTGTAGGTACGTCACAAAAATAAAGGGTCTCACTACAATGACCTTGCGTGAGCACAAGAAGACGTTGGGTGGCACTGATACGTAGAGCCCCTACTATCATCAGATTGCGTCGGCAACTAAAATTAATGGCTATCATGAGAACGCTAACATAGATTTCTTCCATTGAAAACGCAGATACACAAGGTGGGAAAAAATAAACTAGAATGTCATCGGAATTTATCGTGATCGCAGCGCAAAGTAATGCATGATGGAACGAAGGATACCCATGAAAACAAGCGCTCTCGACAAATTTCGGTACGATGGATGGCATTCATTCAGCTAAAGGACTGAATGAATTGCTACGAGAGTAGAAAAAGCGGCTGTGCTTTGAACGCTCTCCATATACGGCTCGTTTGATCGAGTAAAAGCAGACTTTCGACCAGAAAAAAACAGACGACATCTCTATTGCAGAACTCTTGCTCACCATTCAATACATTTAAGAAACCTCCGTGAGTTATGCAGCAAATCTCTAATCTCGGTATAAATGCTCAATATGACTCTAAAGACCAACTTTCTATAAACCTCGGCATAGATAGTTGATATAATTACTTATATGATCTTATAAACTGATCTTCTTAAACTGACGCGAGGTTGGTACAGGTCTTTGTTGTCGTTGTCGTTGTTTTTGATGTTGTTGGTCGATGGCTAACGTTTCGGCGACTTCGCCTTTCTCAGAGCCGTGATGTTACGTGCGGGACCGTCGAAACGTCAGCCATCGATCAATAACATCAAAAACAACGACAACGACAACGAAGACCTGTACCAACCTCGCGTCAGCTTAAGAAGATCAGTTTATAAGATCACATAAATAAATGCTCAATATACTTTGTTTTATTGATGTACTAAGTAAAGAGTACAAAGAACTGTGGACATCAACTTCGGTCCTCGGCTCTGAGGAAAGCGAAAACGTCGAGAAGTTAGCCGAATAGGCTTATTTTATCAACATTGTGTTGGCTCATCAGTAAAAGAAAGCACTCTTGAAATATCTAGCCTCAATAGCGCAGTAAAAAAAAGTCGTGTGCAACGCTTCATCATTTGTGTTGGTGTTCCAGAGTTGGAGCTTTCCAGACTGCTTAAATTTCGAAGGCGTAAGGTGAACGACCTGCACCTACAATGGACCCTCACTTGCATCTGAGTCCATAGTAGAGGACCTCATTATGCAGGCAAGAAGGATAAGGTGCGACGCCATGAGATTACCTGGAACGAGAAGACGCCACCCTTTCAACGCCATCTATGACACCGGAGACGAACTGTTCCTCAGAACATGCGACAGTAGAGTTGGCGGCGTCGGCGTTCTCGTCATCACGAGTTTGTCGATGAACATTGACTCATTCGAACAACTAACAACCAGAATCAAACGTTTACGATTAAAGAGATGTGAATCAATACCGGCTTTGACAATCTTCGTCGTTTGCCAACCGACATCAAGCTATAATGAAGACGAAGTTGAAGCGTTCTTTATGCACTAGGCGAAGTTCTATAGAGAACATTCTTCAAAGGCATCATTGGAGATTTTAACGCTAAGAACGGGCCCAGTAGAAAGTCTGAAGAATGCTACATTGGGACCCACGAATTAGAACGGAACGAACAGGATGAGCAGTTGTATGACTTTATCATCTCGGGCAATGCCGTTCATGGAAACTCACAATTTTAGAACATCCACTCTCAACGTTGGACGTGAAAGTCTCTCAACGGAAAGCACAATAACGAAATAGGTCACATCACGGTAAATCGAAAGTTTTGCACAACCGATGTCGCCGTTATCCCAAAATTCTGTTTTAATCTGTCTCTTAAGTATAAACTCTTCACTTAAGTCATCCTAAACAGGATTAACAGAGTACTGCTCACGAAGGCAAGAAGAGTTTCGAAGAGCATTCAGTAAGACGGACCACATCCACATGATAACAAGACTCGCTGAAGCATCGTGAAAGTACAAGAAACGAAGCCTTCGACTCGGTTCAGATAGAAGCAGTCATGGAAACCCTGGACAGCCAGGGTCTCTTCTCACTATATAAAGATTCTTCGTGAGCTTTACAAAGACTCACAACCAAGATATCACCATTCTACAGCGATATTAACGTTGACTTCAAAAGAGGAGTTAGGCAAGGCGATACTATCGCCCCAAAATTATTCACTGCCAAACTCGAGAACGTCATGCTAACATTGGAATTGGATAATATGAGAGTGAAAATAGATGGTCGGCAGTTACACCATTTTCGCTTTGCTGATGCCATCGTCCTTATAACACCAAATATTAGCCAAGCGGAACGAATGCTTGCCGACTTTGATAAAGCCTGCGAAAGGATTGGTCTTCGACTAAATCTCACGAAAACGATGTTCACGAGGAACGGATCGGTTTCGTATGCCTCATTCACGCTCAACGGTACGAATATCTCCGAATCCTCCAGTTATGTTCATCTAAGTAGGAAATTCAACATCATGAACGGCTTAATTCCAGAGTTGAGCAAAAGGAAACAAGCAGCTTGGGGAGCTTTCAAAAGTATCGAGGATGTAGTGAAGAGGACAAAGAACACCCGACTTCGCCCCCACCTTCTCGACTCAACAGTACTTTCTGCCCTAACGTTTGCGTCAGAAATCTGGCCGCTGCGTAAGCAGGATGAAAGATCACTCAGCGTTATCGAACGCGCAGTCGAAAGGGCCATGCTATGATTATCCCGTTCCACACGAGTAAGGGATGGGATCCGAAGCTCCGATCTGCATCAACGATCAAGAATTAAAAATGCCGTTCTGTACGCCAAACAGTCGAAGGTGGACCAAACACGTAATGCGTATGAACGATAACCGATGGACAAAAGTCGTTAATAACTGAATTCTTCGGGATGTCAAACTTATTGTTGAAGACCACCAACCCGATGGGCAAAGTTCTTCACTAAAACCCTAAATGAAGAGCATGAGGCTCAACAAGTCTCTAGCGCGAGCAGAACCCACTGGACTATTCGTGGAAGAATGGAAGGTTTGCCAGTGCCCACTCGAGTCACACGATGGTCCTTCCTTCAGTGGCACAAAAGGTTATAAAGGTCATACTGGTTAAAGAACTGTAAAAGAAGAAATTCCTTTACCACATGCAGTGGGCAGTTTATTGCGCTCTGATTTAGTAAACGATAAGCGTTATTAGGTTTCTCTTTTCTTTTTCAGTTCCAAGTTTTTTTTCGATTCTTAAGCAAAGGAGTGCTGCACATAGTAATGAATTCTTCAGTAATACGAATTTGGTAACTCGTTCATGAAAGTTGATGACCTGCTAACTTCATGTAACCACTGTGGGTCGCTTATCATCCACCTGACATAACCGCATTACACAAGCCCGCTTAGAGGCAATTCTTCGCAGTAAAGAACTCACTAACTTGGAAATTTCTTAGATAATCTAATCCTTCAGTAAAAGTGTTCTTCAGCCGAACCAGCTCGCTGTCCTCGAGTGCACATTCGCCCTTTAACACATCAACAATTTATTACTAAAGAGAAATAAGTGGAATGGGCGTACTTTAATAGCGGCATCGAGCCTCGCAACGGCTTCGCTCATGTTCGAGGATTCTATCTCGAGAACATCTCTCAGATTGCTCATCAGTCGACTTTCTGTTGCATGAAATGTCTCGATTTCAGTTATAAAGGCATCTTCTCGTTTCTTCAAGTCACGCTGATGCCTGAATTACCACTGCGTTGCTATTAACAAAAAAACCGGCATTACAATTAGCGATATACCTGTGAAAATATTCTCTAACTTCGTCCTTGGTCGTCTCACAGTTTAGTGTAAGCAGTTCAAGCCCCTTAGAGAGGCCATCTGAAGCCTCAATAATCCGATTCGACAAGCGGCGCACCTTAAAGTACTTACATCACCCTACCTATTTCCTAAACTCTCGTACGATTTAAATCTGCACTCTATGTACGGAGCAATGCTTAGCACTTTCAACATATATCTTTTCAACTTGACCTTCTCCTTTACCTGATTGAGTAACCTTGCTAGATCCCTTTTGAGCATCTCCATATGAGTTTGGCGGCACTCCTTACAGGCCTTCCGTTCGCAGTGGGCGCAAACATCACAGTCAGCCTTCTCATCGCAAATTTTGCACCGTTCAAGATTGTACCTGAGCTTGCTTAGTATAGCACTACAACAAAAAACAACATGTGTTAGTGACGAACTACACTGGTTACCTAGACCTAAACTGACTTTCGCATAGTGAACTTAGCCATGTAGTAGCTGAGCCACTGATTAACTTTCAAAATACCCGGCAAACATTGGATGCCACACAGACCAAAAATCGACTACGATCTTGTTCCAGGAAAAAAATATGAAAATTGGTGAACTAGCTACTGTTCGCTGCAACATGACAGCAATATATGCAAAGTGATAAAAACGGACTACATTTTAGATTTTCGTTATCGAGAAGACAATAATGTACTACAACCAGAACTCAAAAGAGCTTTTTTTGCTGAAATCAGAATTTCGGTAAGACATCACCGCTTTGCATTCCTTCTATCTAATTGGACGACCTCGTGAAACTCAGAAAAACCACTTCATTATGTGAACAACGAAGCGCACGGCGTTGACCAATCATTGAGAATACACCATGCATTCACCTTCATCGAGAATTATTGTAGATGTGGTTGAATGCATATCTAGCCTATAATAATGACTTGCAGTAGCCTGCTGATGCATTAAGTTTGCGTTCCTATCTTCAAAGACAAGTATGACATCAATTCGCCGACTCCAGAAAGATGAAAGGCTTGGTGACCCAGGGAGCGCGAGATCGAACCAGTGATCAATCCAGTGTGCATCGCGGGACACCTACAACCTACACGCAATTTCTTCATATGGAGTGGCAGTTTTTATGCGAATCAGAAAAGTAATTTTAAGATCCTTGTAGTATTTGTGAGTTCCAATAAATGTAGCTCTTCGGCATCATTCGATGCTGTTTGATTATGCGATCGGTGAGATTCAATGGTGGAACTCTCGCGATCGCTCGACGCTTTGTCAATAGCTAAGAACGCCCTCGCAAAATTACTTGACCATGTCGTCTTTTCGCTCAATGAACACCATTGACTGCAATTTAAACTTCGGAAAAAGCAGAGAAAGTGGATCACCTGGTCCCTGAGAGGGTGAAGAAGAGAGCTAGGATGAAGGAGAGGAAGAGGTAGAGAAAAGACGAACGAAAGAGAGCTATAGGCGGAGAAAACGAGAGAGGGGGGGAGGGAGAGAGAGAGAGGGAGGAAGGAAGGAAGAGAAGGAGGGATGACGGTGTAAGCTGCGCCAACTGCTCTCTGGCGTGAAGAGGCACAACGGAAAATCTGTTCTTATGTTTCTTTCGTAATACTCTATATTGGTATTCGTGGCACAGCTCTCATCCGATGAACGACGAACCTGTGAATGTAGTCCTCGATTTCGGCAGCTGAGTCGGGTGTTGCCTGCAGGTGAATCTCGAGGAAACCCGTCAAAGTGTAGTTCGGCTGGAAAGATTATTGTAATAGCTCGGAAGAAAGACTTTATTTCCATTTTCCATTGCTACTCTTGAGATACGGAATTTTACGTGTGAAAAAGGCAAGTAAACGGTAAATAAAGCAATCACTAGGAAATTGATTTTACTTAAATATGTCTCATATACACATCTAAATGTAGTAAAAAGACGTAGAGCTATTCGAATACATTACTGAAACTACCTGAAAGGCTTTTACCCCATCGTATGGAATAGTGTGTTCAGCTCGACATTCCGGACACTTAAGTGTTCGATGCAGGGAATCAGCATAAGATTCGAGACACGGATAACAGAAGGTATGTTGGCATGGCAGCAGTTTCGGTTGTCTGAAACATTTCTCTGGGTGTTCTGAAGAAAACTAAGAGTGTTTGTAAGAGATATACTCCGTTTCCCCAATACAATAACTAATTCCACAGCTTAATTCATTTGTCAGATAGAAAAAACAACTCCAAACATACGAAGTTTTTCAAAAATATGAAGAAACAACGGTGCAGTTGCAGGAACAACAAGACGTTGTTTCCATCCAGAACGTTCCATTATAGAAGGACTTAGTAATCAATGCTAGACTTTTCCCACCGGCATCATATGGCTGGACATGTGTTTTTCGCGATGTGCTCCGCACTTGTTGAGTAATACCTTCCCACTCAGATGAGGAATGGATGATGATGGAAAGAGTACTCAGAATAAATTACAACCTACGAGAATTTTAGACAGAAAGTTCCGTTTGCCAAGCTAGAAGGGTGCAATCATCTTTTACTGGTGTTCGAGTCAACACTTCAATTGAAAAAAGCGACTGCCAGCGTCGGTGAGATTGCTGTCGACTGGACTGGTGTAATGGAATATGCGCTGTGAGCTCGGGGTGTAAAGCAAAGAAATCATCATTCCACAACGCTAAGGCGAACGGACGTAAAGCATCGGAGACAAACCACACGATTCCGTTTCCGAACAAAAGATAATGCCAAGCAAGTAATAGCGAAAATAATAATCGCTATTACCTAGGCTGGTGCTGCGCAAGAGGCCCCATCTTGCGAAAGGCGGTAGATGTTGATGAACATGGTCGGTTAAGTAAATTATTTATGTGACAACGATATCAGTCAATTGTCAGCGGAACAAGAAAGAAACAGGAAGTTCGCTTACGATCCTTGCCGACAAGTGTTCTTCTAGTGTTCCACACGGGAACGTGAACGGTTCACTAATGTGGAGGGAAGATCTTTACTGAACTGAGAAGGCTACGTCGGAACACCAACACGATGAAGCCATAAAAGAAAGAAAGTGATTTTATTATGTCACTTTTCTTTGCGATCATGAACAATCGGCAATATTTTCATATGCAAAAAAAGACTTGGAGGAAGAATAATTTTCGAGCATAAACATTGAACGTAACGAACTGTTTACGAGAAATAGTAATGAAAAGAATTGCAGGATATATAGGGTCTACCGTCATGATCCCAAAGATGAAGTCGATGCAATAGAATAACTCACTTGTATCGATCCAGACAGATTGGACAGGTGAGTAGCTGTTCGATCTTCTCCAGTGGGTTCACGAATTCTGGGGGACGTGCGGTAGGAGCCTGAGCTACGAGGTGTCGAACCTTGGCGCGAGCATCCGCTTCTTCGCCAGCATCCATGCCGACTGACTAAACAGCCCCGTCGTAGCGGTGAAATTTCAGAACTCAAGCCTCGTTCCTCCCGCCCCGAACTGCACTCTCTTCCTCCATCGCTCCCACACACGCACACACACGAAGAGATACATATATACACACATCGCCACCACTCGAGAAACCCTTCACACCTTTCTCGTTAGCCTAATTTCTCATTCATTGAATTCTTCAAAAAAATTCGCCACTTGCCGCCGCTGTACGGAAACAGTTATTTAAAAAAATCCGATAAGGTCCATGAAATAACCCGAGCTCAACATTGGAAATGTGTGGAAAACTTATGTACGCCTGAGAGAGTGTTCGCTTGTCAAAGTAGTCAAAGAAACTGAAAAAATTTTCGGTGGATAGATAACCACTTATTTCAATTTGCTAAACTTACTTACTGGATACTTGGACGGCCCGTCATCACTACTTGTGCAGGGCCCCAGCATAATCACCACTTTTCGGAAATTTGCTGGTTAAGCCATTGTGCTTCCTTGGAATCCCGAGGACAGCCTGGCCAAAGTCTGCCCTAGGTCTTCACCACGACAGGCAGTCGCAGCCCTTATGGATCAGAGAGAGATTTGCCACCATGCGACTTTGATATTAGGACGGTAGTGGACCCTGGTATTGGTTTACTCTTAGTTAGGCTTCCTGATGGAAACGCCGGACTCCTTCTCAGCTTGGGAGACCCTGCCGTGGGGACGAAACCTTCCGCTGTACATCGCAGTCCGATAGCCAGAAATACCTCCCAGCCACGATGAGACGGTAAACCGTTGGGAGGTCAACTTGCTATATGACAAAATATAACGAAAGTCTTTTTTAAACTGTTAGACATTATGTCCGAACACTACTTGAAGAATAATTCTTTCAACTTCTGTTCAGCAAACACGAGGTGCTATTTTATTTCTTTATTTACGTACAAGCTGACGTATCGGCGGATTTTGCCTTCCTCAGAGCCAGTAAGCTTCCATTGCTTCAGTCGCCAGCGAATTACCACGGAGCATCAAGTGGTCGTTGTCTTAAAGTAGTTTATTTTTATCAAGTTCTTAGTTAATAAAAACTCACAAGCAAATGTACCACACCTAAAGAATCGACTTCCGACATTACCAGTTCGCAAAGAAAGTCGTTAGCGAGTTTTTGTTTGTGCACTGAAGCTGAGGCTGAAGCCTTTCGCTCTGAGGAAGGCGAAATCCGCCGATACGTCAGTTTGTGCGCAAATAAAGAAATAAAATGACACCTCGTGTTTGCTGAACAGAAGTAGAAAGAACTACTGGAAGACTTGAAATACCCTAGATTCACAAAGAATCACGCGTGCTCTAACATAATTAACCACTGAGTGGTAATTTGCTGCTTCACCAGAATTTTCCCTCGTGCTTAGAGATTGGAATTGTTGGAGCTCTCTGAGCTCTTCATCACAGGCGTTTGCCAACGTGAAGTGGAGCGAAGGGAAAATTACCACTTTTCGACTAGGTTGCTATCAGGATGATGGAAATGTCAAGCTCCTAACCAGCTTACAAGACACTGATTAGGAATCATATGAGTCGGTAAGCATTCGCACAATTGTGAGGATGAGAATTAAGGATTAGATTAAGATTACTACATGAGTGAACAAAAGATTTTTCAGCACTAAAAAAGAGAAGATTTTTAAGCAGTTATCCAGTGTTCAGTAGACTGAACGCAGCTATCGCTACCACCGCAGTGATCACTACCATGGAAATGCCCTAGTCGCAAAGTAGTGAAACTCCATAACGAACTGGGTACGCTTAAGTAAAGACCTGAAAGCAACCTTTCACTATCACGGTATACAACCACAAGGATGCTGAGACATGAGCAAAACTAGGAACCTAAGCTGGGCTTCGAACCCATGATTCCCTTTACAGGGTCTCACGTGCTATGCATCACAGCAACCGAGGCGCTTCCTTTGCCTCTCTCTCATTCATCTTTCTACCCTATCGGTGCCATCAGCAATCACTCACCAACAAGAATAACCTTTGAGGCACAAATCGGCATTGAATCCAGTGGCGCTGAAGCGGCAGTTCGAAATCAGAGCGTCTTACCTTTTATTCACTGCCTATTCCTTCATTCCCGACATTTTTTTCCTCCCTTGGATTATTCCCGATGACCACTTATTGTTGACAGCATTGATAAAGGAAAAACAGTCGGGAGAAAAGCAAGACAAGGGCCTCGCTTGATGTTGCGAATAGTACGTGAGAAATCCGTGAAGATAATCGTGGGTTCGAAGCCCAGCTGAGGTTCCCAGTTCTGTTCATATCTCAGCATCCCTCAAGTGGTAGTTCACACCATACCTTATCATGAAAAAATATGCAGTTAATAAAAGTTAAGACATTATCGCGGGACAACTACTTTTCGCTCATTATTCAACATGTTAATGAAAGACAAGGCAACAAGGTATTAAGGCGTAGCTGTAAGAAGAGATCGGAACACCTAAAGAACGTGTGTCAATTCGTCATTACAACACTGTTTCTTTATTACGTAGAATACAAGATTCAGCAACTATGCCTTTCAACACCCTTCATGTACATCGCTCTTTCATCTACTGAGATAAGGCATTCCACTTGACAAGAAAGCTACGGTCGGTTTGCACGACTTAGACGTCTTATTCCATTTAGGATTCCATCCTTCGTGAGTTATGCGGCAACTTGCAGCTACAATTCTGCCATTCTGCAATATCGAGCTCTAACCTGTTCTAACGCAATCGAAAATCACTGCGAAACTATCCAATGCCTTGCTGATGACATCATCATTACAGTATGAAGCACTAGTCAGCTTGAAGAATGCTAATCAATTTCGATGGGGTTTGTGGAAAAATTATTCATCTGTTGAATATCGTGAAAATGATACTCTTGAAAAATGGTTTTGTTCCTGATTCACGGCCAAATGGATGTAAATGTGACGATTGAAGCAAAGCTGCCTTCGCTCCCACTGCTCCGACTGCACACTTTGGTGAACAACACACGTCCCACATCCTGTAAGTGGCTTTGGGAATGACTTAGCTTGTGCACCAGTTCCTTTTCGATCTTTCGAGTTCTTTCCACATCCATATTGTACAATGGAGTACTAAACTGGATCAAGGATCGAGGAAATTGTCGCATACGTCAAGATGTCGAAAGTCATGTGGGCAGAGCATGTGATACTTCACAACGACAACTGCTGGACAATGGTCGTTAGTGATTTGATTCAAGGGGATGTCGAACGCATAGCACGACGACCACCGATGTGAAGAACTTCTTTAAACTTCTTCATGGAAGCAATAAGCATGAAATGTGATGCTCTTCGTATCCCAACGACCAGTGTGACTCACTAGGTAGCTTTAGTCTATGATATTGACAAGTCGACACTTTACTGGCTACCGCTCGTTTTACGACTACTGGGAAGGCGAACGGCGATACATATGATAGAAAGATAGAATTTGGAGTTCTTGTTTCCTTCTACTTAAGGAAAAGAATTGCACAGTTAGAAATTGCTATGGAAGTATTTCATAGCTTGAGCGTCCTACTCAGTACACACGAATCCTCCATGAGTTATGAGCAACTTTACAATTAGGATTCAACCATTCCACAACAACTTCATCAGCTACATATAGAAGGAAGCCTGGAAAGGCGAAACAATCTTTTAGTACTATTTAATCTTTCTCGCCCTTGAGAACGCCATATTAAAATTGGACGGAGCAATATGGAGCAATGGACTGCTGCCAAAACATCTCACTTCGTTGAAAAAGACTTTGATTTCGATCTAGCAACATCAATAACTAGTCAGGTAAAATGAATGCTCATCAATTTCAACAGACAGTGCGGAATGGTCGGTCTTCGGTTGGCCTTCCAGAAACTGTGAGAAACTTATGTGGTTTATTACCAAGTATAATAAGTGGTCGTCAAGGGTTTAATGTGAATGACGTTTCAGCTATGTTGTCATCCGTAGAACTGCAGTGATTAGAGTCAAGTGTTTATAGACGGAAGTTTTCCGCGATGTGTTGGTTCGAAGTCACATCGGAATGAATAGAGTAGAGAAGAACAGCCCAGGAATGAAATTACATCACTCGGCGGACCCCTTACACAAAACCACTTTTTATTGATTGTCAGAGGATGATCCGATCCTTTCTTTATCGGCTTTCCGAAGAGAAATGTGGAATTCATTAATAGTGGGGGCGACCCAACGTAGAGATAATATCACTGGTGTACATAAACAGCCGGACAACTATAAACATCTCTTTCCCTACGACGGCGAAGTTGAACAATTGGATGTGTGGGAGAGTATATATACTCAAAAACGTGAACTACACGAACGTTGAGATATGAACAAAACTCGGAACCTCAGGTGGGTTTCGAACCCGTGATTACCCTTTCCGAGGGTTCATGTGCTATCCATCACACCAATCAAGGCCCTTGCTTTACTTTCCTTTCAACTAGTTTTCTACCCTAATGGTCCCATCAGCAATCACCCGTCATTGTGAGTGATCTAGGGAGCACAAATCGGCATTGAACCCAGTTCGGCAGAACATATTTCAATATATCAAAATAGATACTGACAAGATTGTCACATGGGCTCATCAAGTAGATTTTGTAAGACAATACATGTAAACTGGTGCCAAGGGTAATCGAAAATCTGTCTTTTGAATTACGTTCCAAATACCACTTTGAGCTGCTTCAGAGCACTACCGCTAGAAGGGGATTTGTAAAGCTACAAACCGTGCGTGAAATGAGCTGATCATGACTTTGTCCGCAAATACAGAAACACGCGCGAAATCCAGGCGAAATAGGTTTAAACTCTTTCAACAATTGTGACTTGAATTCCGCTGATATAGTTGTCACCTTACTGGTTTCCTTGACTTTATAGTCCTTTCCTTTACGATTTTGAACAGTATTACTCTGTGGCTTCGACAGCTGTCTAGCGCTTAAACAGTGGGAAGGGAATTCTTTATGGTTGTGATAAGGTAGCTTTGTAAATTGTCATGCTTATAAGAAATTTCTTGACGAGTATGCTTAGGAGTCCTCAACACTCCCTCATGGTGTAATTTGAATAAATGATAAATTGAAGTGTGTGATTCTAAGAGGAACGGTGAGAGGTAAGAAGTATCACCTGTATCACCTGTAGTCCCGTTCATCGTCGAGTGACTCGAGCGGGCGCCAGTAAATCGTCATATCTTTAAGAAATAAGCTGAGATATATTAAAGGCTATCGGAGAACGGAGAAGACTGTTGTTTTATAAAAGAAAGAAGACTGGAGGTTTGCAAGTTTAAATTTATTGAACAAACCTTTTTCAGGGCTACACCCCTTGTTGGATTTTCGTTTTTACCGATTTAACACCTTTTTTCTATTTTATTATCTTTTAACAAGCTCACTACTTCCAATGGTTTACCGCCTCATCGTGGCTTGGAGGTGTTCCTGAGTGTCGGGCTTCGACCTACAGCGGTAGGATTCATCCCTGGCAGGGTCTCACAAGCTGAGAAGGAGTCCGGCGTTTCCATCAGGAAGCCTAACTAAGAGTAAACCAATACTAGGATCCACTACGGTCTTGGTATCAAAGTCGAATGGTGGCAAATCTCCCTCTGGTCCGTAAGGCCTGCAACTGGCTGTGGTGGTGACGATCTGGGGCAGATCTTGGGTAAGCTGACCTCGGGACTCCAAGGAACTACAATAGCTAAACCAGCGAAACTCCGAAAAAAGAGAAGCTGTGATGAGACCCATTCAACCACTGAAGACGGGCCATCCAAGTAGTAAGCTTACTATTCTTCATTGTCATGTTGTATGCCTCCCAGCGGTTTACCGCCTCATCGTGGCTAGGAGGTGCTCCTGGGTGTCGGAATGCAATGTACAGCGGGGGAATCGTCCTCCCGGCAAGGTCTTCCATGCTGAGAAGGAGTCCGGCGTTTCCATCAGGAAACCTAGCTAAGAATAAACCAATACCAAGATCCACCACCGTCCTGGTGTCAAAGTCGCATGGTGGCAAATCTTCCTCTGATCCACAAGGGCTGCGACTGCCTGCCGTGGTGACGACCTGCGGCAGATCTTGGCCAGGCTGTCCTCGGGATTCCGGATAACCACAATGGCTTAACCAACAAATCGCCGAAAAGTGTTGATTATGCTGGGGCCCGCACAACTAGTGAGGACGGGCCGTTCAAGTATCAAGTAAGTATCATGTTGTATGAAGCGATTTCTATCGAAGACCACTGGTTCTTTGTACTTTAACGGAAGATATGCTTCATCGTAGTCTTAACATGTTTGTTATGACGTAGCATCTGGAACTGTATTGATTGAAATGATTATTGATGACGCTTGTATTTTTATGCTAGGCAGATATTTGCTTGATGTCTGACCGTTCTTACGACATAGTAACAATGCTGACGGTCAATTTTTCTCTTCAAGTAATGTGTATTAGTCCTATCCAGTAAACATAGAATTGCTGTGACGTGTTGATAGTGGAGTAAATTCATTGGGAGAAGTTGTGCAACGAACTAGGCACTGGGAAGGATGGCGCATCCTGTATAGCTCATCTCGGCTGAAGGATGTTGGATTACCCAGGTAGGTTACTGTCGTTAGATAACTAAGGACGTTATATTCATTTTTTGTTTTTTAATATTATGGGCCAATTATGAGACGATTGTAACGCAGTTGTTGGAGGCGTTCTACAACACACATGGGATCGATCTCCGCACGCCAGGCCCACAAAACCCTCTATCCCTCCGGGGTTGGCAAATTGGTACCAGACCTGTCTAAGTGGAAGCAGCACCGGCGCGATACATCGGTGGGCCACCGCGAATCATTGTAAAGACCAGATATGCATTCAATCACGTCCAACGATGTTTGATGAAGTCCAGTGCAAGGCGCATCCTTCAGGAATAGATCAACGCCAAGAGCTTTATCTATCTTTTTTAAGCCAATGGTGGCATCTTTACATAGAAAATATTATGATTTGTCAGTCGAAAAGTAAAATTACTACCAAGCGCGCATTTTGTAAGCTATCATAGACTACTTTTTCTTTTGGAGTTTTCAGCTAAATTGCAGAACTGCCTACTTTAATTAGGGGTGTTAAGGTCAGTAAGAAAGCTGTCACACTAAAGCTCGCTACTATCTGTATGTCTAATTTTCTGAATCATACACATTCCACGTAGAAAATCCTCCCGTACAACTACAATCTATGTTCTTTTTTCTTTGTCTTTTCGCTGCGCCGTAGTCTTGTTTTCATAATGCTCGTTGTAATTCGAATTTAAACCTAATTTCTTTACTCTTCAGGAAAGCAAATTAGCTACTGTTTGTAGCATCGGGTTTTTGAATGACTAGTGGTCATGGAAGGACTTTTCCAGAATGGGTTCCTCCTGATGTAGTTGCGGCGTATTTGGAAAAGGTATACCCTTAGGATGGCTTTTTCCAATAGTGCGGTTTTTCTTTGACATATATTTTTAAACATTCTGGTGTGGCGGAGTGGTCGGAAGCGCCCTGCAACACATCGATCATCTCACCTATGGCTCTCCAAGCCTTCCATCCCTCCGGGGTCGGCAAATTAGTAGCAAACTTGTCTGAGAGGATACCAACATTGGCACGACACATCGATAGGCCACCGCGAGTCATTGTAAAGGCCAGATATGCATTCAGTTACCTTCAACGATACTTAATGAAGTCGAATGTATGGGGCATCTCTCAGAGATTGATCTACACCGAGAGCTCTATATTTTTTTTAACTTTTATTCTACGGTGACATGTTTATGCATATGAAATGTATTAGGTTTAGAATATAAGCTGCTTATTCGACTGGCAAAATGATGTTCTTCAATTGGCTGAGGCTCACGACGGCAATGTGGTCTACAGTGCTCCTACTAGTGCGGGAAAGAGTATCGTTGCTGAACTCATTGGTAAACTACTTATTAAATGTTCTTAATCCTACTTTTGAAGTCTGTAATGTTTTTTAGCTCTTCGTCTAGCTCTCACAGGAAAGAAGGTGCTTTTCTTGCTACCCTACATATCCATGGCAAAAGAAAGATTGCATTTCTTGCAGGTTATTCTTATCTTTGTCTCAGTGAGCTTTTTAAATGTTTTCTTATTGTTTGTTGAGTTTTTAATTTTTGACATAATGTCGTCAGTTTCTACTTAGTGGCTACTCTTTTTTAGTGGCAAGGCCTTATGTGAAATTTAACCATATTGATGCTAAGATATTTACAAAACCCCAGACTGCTGGTGTCTGCGGTGGGAATCGAGTACGCTATTGCCCTTTCCGAGGGCTAACGCGTTCACCACCACACCATGCAGGTCCTTCGTTTAGCCTTTCTCTCAGCCAAGTTATTGTTTCTCAAATATCTCAGCATCGTTATGATTATTATTGATATAATTTGAGGCTGTTTTCTTTTTGGAGCGTTGGTTGAGCAAGTTTTACGGAAGATTTTTCTTTAAGGAATTAATCCTGTGCGACGTTTCACTTTACCTTTTATAAACTACTGAACACTGTTTTAGATTGTGTAGTGTTTGAATTTTATCGATTTGCATCTATGTTTTATGCACAGGCAGAATTTTTCACCACTTTATCGACGAAGTTGTCACATTTTCCTTCACGTCCGTCACCAACGGGTTTTTCTGGAGCAATTCCTCGAGAAGCTTGTAGTTTTCGTTCAGGTCTTTTTTTTTATTTAACGTTCATGCAGGTCAAAGATTTTACCGAGAAATGTGTTCTATTTGTGTACGACTTTCTTTTCCTTCTTGGGCGATCACAAGGCACCTTTCCACGTTGTTACGGACCAAATCCTTGGGCAGAGGTGGTGTGGTGTAGGATGTAATATAGAGGAATACCATTATAATGGTATGAAAAAACAACCGCTTTCTCTTTTTGAGGTTTTATCGGTATCCACATGAATCGTGCCAGTTGGCGATTCCTATGTAAGTTGCACACTGTAGAAAGGAGAGAGTCGGTTTCATTCTCATTTTCGTCGCGAATGGTGGTGGCGTCCAGATACCCATTCCGCTGGCTTAAAATCGTTCCCATCCGTGAATGCACGCAGTTAACGTTAGCCGTGAACACATCTGTCCATCGCTTGGGTGGTCGTCTAAGAGGAACGTTTGCATTCCCTTCAAGTCCACTCCACTGTTTTTTTTTTGTCAGTGTGTCATCTGTTCTTCTGGCTCTGTGAACATCCTATTTGTGCTTCGCTATCGTAGTACATTCGCCTGGATCTCGAGGATGAGGTAGGATTCGAAGATCTGAGCTGTCCATTTAGGTTAGACGTTGTGAGTACCGTTTAAGTTCCAGAGCACATCATTTTAGCTCTGTATGGGTGTTGCGCAGTGCTTTTGTCATGGTTGAAGTATTAACCCATGCATTTGCTACAAAACAGAGCGCCGTTATGATTGTTGAGTTGGAAATGTGAGCGTGGACTTTTGAATCTACTACTTGTTCGATTGCTTCTTTGAAAGGGCCAAATGCTGCTCATGCTGCTCACCTTCTGTCTAATTAATTCCTCTTATGTTATTGCACATGTTCAGTGAATGCCTAAGGTACACGGGAGAACCATTCAGTTCGATCTATTCGACCTCGTACCATGGGGTCTTCATGAACTGGGTCTTCGTCCTATTTATGCGAAGTTCAATCTTTCTTAATATTTCGTTGAGTTCATTAAGCGTCTTTTCTGCTTCACTGGTGCTATTGAGAAGATGACGATGTTCTCCGTTAAACGTAGATTTCACAGGGATTTTCCATAAGTACGTATACCCTTTTCATCCCAATCGAGTGATTTCATTATCCTTCGCGGTGCACCAGTGAACAGTTTTGGCGATATTGTGTCTCCTTGTCGAATATCGTTTCCTATGGGTATGATAAGGGGTCTATAGAAAAGCTGTATTTTTGGGCTGCAATTGCAATAAGCAGTAATATTCAGTGTTCATAAATACCTCCCAACGGTTTACCACCTCATCGTGGCTGGGGTGTTCGTGAGTGTCGGACTGCAATGTACAGAGGTGGGATTCATCTCCCTGGCAGGGTCTCCCAAACTGAGGAGGTCGGCGTTTCCATCAGGAAGCCTAGCTGAGAGTAAACCAATACAAGGATCCAGCACCGTCTTGGTATCAAAGTCGCATGGTGGTAAATCTCCCTCTGCTCTACAAGAGCTGCGACTGCCTGTGGTAGTGAAGACCTGAGGCAGACGTTGGCCAGGCTTACTGCGCGACTCCAGGGAACCATAATGGCTTAACCAGCAAATCGCCGAAAAATGGATATTATGCTAAAGTCCGCACAACCAGTGAGGACGGGCCATTCAAGTATCAAGTTCATAAATAGGACGGGTCCACTCCTTGATCTACGAGTGCTGATATGTTTGCATTCGTTTCACCACTGTAAATCGCTTTTTCATAGTCGACAAAGGTTGGGAAAAGAGGCAAATGGTCCACCCGACAGAAGTCTGTGGCACACACGACTTGAGCGTTGTCCATGAAGGAAAATCGCTGTCGGGAAGCCCTGCTTACACAGCTGGTTACGCCTCATCCTATTTCTTTAATATGCAAAAAAGGATAATTTTCGTGTACAGTTTGTAGAGTCCACTCAACACTCACTCCATGTGCGTTTTGGACGAAAGTTATGAAGATTTCTTCGGGCATCATTTTTGGGCAGGATGACCGCCCGCGACGTCCTCCACAGGTCTGGGATTTTCACCCTGTGAAAGATAAATGGTGGTTTCCATCTCGAAGGAAGTCGATGGGATATTATCGGGTCCTGGAGCTTTGCCTCTTTACATGCGTACTATCGCAACTTGAACATCAGAGTGTAGAATTCGGAGCTATCCTTTTCCGGCGGAGATTTTGAAGTTTGAGATGGGGATAGTGGAACAGAAAAGGTGGAATAGAGCTTCTCCGTTATAAATTCCAGATGACAACGGGATGTGGTGATCGTTCCATCTTCTTTCACTATAGCGGATAAGAATCGCACTAGGTATTGCTTTATGAAGTCTATTAGCTTGCTGCAGTACTTATTATTTTTTACCATGAATTTTAAATCGCTGTAACTGGTTTCAAATACAACTTTGTTGACCAAAATAATAACAGTTTAGACCTAGAGTTGCCGCATTTTTAGTAGCGGTCTGGTTATTGAAAACAGCTTCTTGTCTTTGGAAGTAGCGGCTTGGAAAACTGGTGGTACGTTGGCAAGAGGTCCATGAGTGTGATAGGTGATGCATCGTTTAGTAGCTCAACTCATCCAGCTATTACAGCGTTAGTTATATATTATGTAATGTGTGGTTGAGCATATCGTACAAGTTGAATGAACGTGTTCTGTTTACCACTTCTGGGTTAATACGTTTCTAGTTTTGTAAGATTCCATCGAGTTTGTAACATTACTTTTCTGTTATATTCGTTTCGTCAAAATTGAAAATCATGTATTACATGACTTCCTGTGCCAGAAACATCTATCGTGGCCATTTTTTGGTGCAAATTAGCCTTGGTAGAATGCTAAGCTCTGTTTCGATCTAATTACTTCGGTGAATATCTTCGGTTGCTTAATAGAATCTGTTTTTCTTCACAATTTGTGAAGCGATCGAGATGTAGTTTTTCTTCGTTTAAAAGAAGCGAAGAGCAGGTTTTGTAATAGCAATCTCACCTCTTTTCATTAATTTCATGTGGAACACATCAAACTTTCCCCGCGTTTCCATCCTCCTATGAATAAAAAACGGGTAATAAATTCCGAATTTAAGTCTCTCTACCCTCCCAACGGTTTACCGCCTCATCGTGGCTGAGAGGTGTTCCTGGGTCTCGGACTGCAATGTACAGCGAGGGGATTGGTCCCCCGGCAAGGTCTCCCAAGCTGAGAAGGAGTCCGGCGTTTCCATCATGAAGCCTAACTAAGAGTAAACCAATACCAGGATCCACCACCGCCCTAGTGTCAAAGTCGGATGGTGGCAAATCTCCTTCTGATAGACAACGGCTGCGACGCCTGTCGTGGTGAAGACCTGGGGCAGACTTTGGCCAGGTTGTGCTCGGAATTCCAGCGAAACACAATGGCTTAACCAGCAAATCTCCCAAAATTGGTGATTGTGCTATCGTTCAAGTATCGAGTAAGTCTCTCTGCAACACCATAAACAGGAGAAGCTTCGTTTATCAGCTCAATAAAATATCCACTACTCAGCGACCTATCTGTCATGAAGACTTATATCTCATATACGGAACTTAAGTGGAACTCTTGAAGCGAAAGATTCTTTACTTTGGAAACATTGTTTAAATCGCTATAAATTGGTTATAGGTTAAGTTTCAGAAGGCGCATTGTCTTAGGTATTGCTAACTACGATAAACTTTAATTTTTTTTATTCTTTATATGGCCCATCTTCACGTCTGCTGTGCGGAATCCAGCACTTCTGAAATTCTATTCGTTCTCTCGCATCCATTATCCACGAAAATCTTCTAACTTTCACATATTGCTTCGGCTACTGCTTGAGGATTTTCGTTTCATCTTGAATGTCGTGGAATGTCAGTAGAGTCGATTCTTCCTAGAGTCTTGAGATAGCCGTGATGGAGAGTTCCCAATTGAATCGCAGAGTGATTTTTTTCCGGATAAGTCCGGTTCCAATTTTCCGACCCCGGAAGAATGTGAGGCTTTGTTAGCCAGAACGGAATCGAACTAACACCATCCTCATGATGACTGACATCACTATCACTGTGCTATCCTCTCTCTAAACTTTTTGATTTTACCTGAGAAAACTTTGAAATGATTTAGCGTAATATTGTTCGCAAGAGTCCTTGTTGGAAAGAGTGTTTGTAAGTCCAATAATGGCAAAATACGCCATTATTTTTTGCATGGATTTAGTATATCTCTTGAGGCAGTACTAGCTCAACCTGTATTAAAATGTATCACGAAGTCAGTACTATTGCCATTTCTTCAAACAGGCGTACTCCAAGACTAGTATTATAGCGTGCATGGCGTCGTGTAGATATACAAGTGGCAGCTTTTATGGGTGCACAGTCAGCTCCTTCTCGAGAATGGACAGCTGCTGTGTGCACCACCGAAAAGGCGAATAGTCTTCTCAACCACGCTATCTTAGACGGTAAAATGGAAGAGATCGGTGAGTTTCTTGTTTTCCAATTTTTCTGACATATTTTTAAATAACCATGTTACAAGGTCTCGTCGTTATTGATGAGCTTCACATGGTCTATGATTCATCTCGCGGTGCAGTTTTGGAATCTTTGTGTACTAAAATAAACTTTTGGAATTCACGGTAAGAGCTACTGATAAATCAGTACTTTTCCAACTTACCTAGTAATATGAGTGGTACTATCAGTGATTTCGAAAAAGAATTTCTACCCATTTGGTTTCTTGAGACTTAGTTACTGTTGAAAAATTTACACCAAATTGCTTTAATGACCTACGAACTATGAAACCTATGACCTAAGACCTATGAAACGAGAAAATAGATTTGTTGAACCAAGCTATAGAAGGAACAGTCGTATACATAGTGTTGGCTTAAGCATCGCTATAAGAACTTTCGGCGAAAAGGTGAGTTTGGAGATCTGGCTTGTCAGTAATCGGTGGTCATACTTGGACGCCCTTAGGAACTCGATCGAATGTTCCATCCTTATGCGTCCATGATTTGGTTTTTTCCTCCAACTCGTCCATAATGTTACCGAACGTTGTGGCTGCACGTAACATATGTTCTCTCTAATCGCACCATCATCCATCGCGATATATTCTGTATCGCACCATTTTTTGCTGATTTGGTCTTATTGTTCATTTGTAGCAGTATTTATGTTGTTTTCTTGACGTCCTCAAATTTCATGTCTCTTTATTTGACACTACATGGGTAAAACAAAGATTTGGTGAAAATTTCTCATAAACGTGGACGTCATTTCTCTCCCAATTACGGAACTGCGTTGTCTGCTTCAATGCAAAGATGAACAGGATTGGTGAAACATACTTTATCACATCTGTTTTGCTTCAAGGAGTGAAGGATAAACATTACTGTCAATATGATTAACACTCGGCTAGTGGTGTTGTGTAGGACCGCTCCACTTATATATCAATGAGCGCTGATAGAATAGCATTTATTTTGACACTGTCTAACCCTTTTATACCCTTCAAATGTAAATACAACGATGGTAACTTCGGCAGACCTATGTTACTAGAACACACTTTACTCATTTGGTTAAGAGTCATCCCCAGTCTTGTATGTGCATAGTTAAGTAATCTTCTTGAAAAACCTTTCTCGTTTTCTTGAACCTGTGTTCTTGAAAAAAGCAGTTAAGAATTGGATTATAAGCTTGATGACAAGATGGTGATAACAAAAAACCTCTTCCCAGGATCGAGTTCCTATTAACCTTGGCATTGGATTATAAATCTATCATTTTCTTTCTCAGCAATCGCGAGGTTGTTAAACAGCATACATTTATTTCCATACAGAAACACGATAGAATACAACAGTAGCTGACGTTTCAGCAGAATCGCCTTCTTCAGAGCGTGGAAGGGTACACTAATACGCAGCTTACTAGTTGCGTTGTGTATTAGTGTATTCTTCCAGGCTCTGAAAAAAAACCCTTGTTCACTTTTGCTCCGAAATCTACTTCAAGTATATTTTAACGCGTTAAATACGTTAAATGGGCATAGTTGGTATAAGAGCAAGCAACTTGTTATTGTGCTCATCTGCCACTGAGGTTGAGTCATTTTTTCTGCCCTCTGAACTGAAATGTACTACTTACCACGTGCAAAGTGAAAGTGAAAAGTGAGTGACCAGTGAAAAGCAGTTCCAAGCTCTTTTTTGTTGAGCAGCTTAAGGCATTCGACTCGATTTGCAGTTCGACAATAAAACGCTGGTAGTATGTGGTTGGGTTTCTCTCGATATATCTACGAAGGAGAAGAATGTTTTCAAATCTTCTACATGCAAGATCTATTCTTTCTTTTTAAGAGCTTAGTGACATGTGCTACTTTTCCAATTTGCGGCTTCCTCAAATCTCTAGGCGGGTGAAATAATGATCAGGCACACTGGAAAATGATGACACTACGGAAATGCGGAGGGTGCACCACTTTCTCGTGCGATCTTTTAGTGTTTATCGCGAAATTAGATGGTTACCAAATCCGACGAGCATTGTCATCTTTTCAAAAAAAAAAAAGAAAGAAAGATTTAATGTGTATTCAAGACAGAAACGCACATAGCATCGTTTTTTCATCACTCCAATCCACTCTTTTAAACTTCTCGACTCTGTAGCACTCTTATGGGTCATCGTAATAAGTCTAGTCTTGGACACCTGATCTTGCAAAACTTTTAGTTGTTAACTGCTGCTTCAAACTCATTATAGAGCGTATGCAAGTAATAGATAAATTTAAGAAATAAAAATAGATGACAGTGGATTTTTCTGGTATGAAGAACAAAGGCGTAGAGTGAGTAAGTGTCACTATATCGTGCAAATCGATACAGGTTCCGAATGGATGAATCCGTCATATTAAACATCACAGAGAATATGAAGATTTATACCTGTCGAGAGTGCTGTGGTGTTACATGTTCAGAACAAAATTCGGTTTTAACATCTTTCCGAATCAACTAACAGGAAGACCGAGCGAAGAATTCGTCGCCGAAAACACACTCTCTGTTCCACATCGTGATAAAGACCTGGTTACGCCCTTGCAAGGTTAAATCAGGACTCGAGGGAGGACCAGGTTACACGACCAGCAATAGGCCAGCCTCAGTACCGCACACACTGGGTGCTCCCGTCTATGACATCAGGCGGTGAAACGACCGGTGAGAGGCCAGAAAATATCGGTTTATGCAAGACGCAGGATTGGAACCGGATCTGACGAACACACGCACGACACACCATGGAGATTGTTTCTTACTATGCATGTATAATGCCAGAGCACTCTCCACAGACGCCGATCTTCACGCTCTTCTTGTAGTCGTAGATCGCATTACATTTCATGTGATCGCACTACAAGAAACAAAAATCAAGAAGACCGACATACCACAACTAAACAACACGACTCTTATGATCCGTGGAGAGGAGGTCCCGTCACGAAATGTCGGCGGCGTAGGCTTTGTCGTCCATCTCGTCGACTCATACGTGATCCATTCCGTTCGCATAGCCGTCCGCCTTCAACTGTCGCATCATAAGAAGATCACTATCATCAACTGCTACTCACCGTCGGACGCAGCTGATGAGTGCGAATTAAACGCGTTCTACTATCAGTTGGATGAAGTCATCCACAATGATAAAGCAGATCATAAGTTTGTTGCTGGAGACTTCAACGCCAGAATAGGAAAGGCAAACTAGAGCGAATATAGGATCGGAAATTTTGGATTTGGAGAAGGAAATGGGAATAGGAACCGTCTCGCAGGGCTCCTGTCAGCAGCACGTTTCTTCCATGGGAACTCGTTCTTCCAGAAGAAAGAAAGCCTCCACTGGACATGGGAGTCTCCCAACGGCATGACTCACGCGGAAGTCGACCATATTCTGCCAAACAGAAGATGGTGCCTACTTGACACATCGGTAGTCCTTCCCGTCATTCTGTACTGGTTCCGATCACCGCCTTCTTCGCGCGAAGATTCGATTCAGCCGCAAGCTGTAAAAGGACTCTCTTTGTTGTGCACGAGGAAAAAATCTAGCTGTATACGACGAGAACATTCTGAATCGAGTCTTGTTCAAACGTGATTGACAGATTAAAGAAGACTGGACCGAAGGCTACGAGCTGCTTGTCGAAGGATTGAAAAGCTGTACCGAGTTCGCCTCAATTCCTCATGCAAGAAGATCTGATCGCATCTCTATCACTACCAAGGAGTTGCTCGAAAAGAGAAGGAAACTGAAGCTTGATCCTAGTGCAACACGTTTAACATGGCTAGTAATAAATGCCAGCTGTAGAAGAGCTTTGCAGGAAGATCTACAACGGTACAAGCAGAAGAAACTACTGGAAGCAGCAGAGAAAAAAAGCAGTCTGGAAAAATGCCGTCGGGATGTGATTATAATGATTCGTTTCGCCTGTTTTTTTCCGTTGACGGGTAATTGCTGATGGTAAAAAATCGATAGAACTAGCTGAAAAACAGGCGAAACGAAGGATCCGCATGGTGTGGTGATGAACGCGTTACTCCCCGGAAAGGACAATAGAGCGTTCCTTCCCCACTGCAGACACCTGCGGTCCGGAGTTTTGCAAATATCTCAGTAGTTATATTTCGCAAAATACCTTGCCGTTAAAAAGAATAGGCAGGAAGTAAGAAAAAAGGTGAAGACGGGATCGTCAAAAATTCTCGCCGTGATATGGAATTAATAGCGAAAACATCCTACGCCAACCCTTTCCGTTCCACAATCCCCGTCCCGAACCATAATATCCCCGTTGGAGAAAAACCACCTGGAATTCTTCCGTCGGATGTTCGAGTTGCAATGGAAAGCATGAAAAGAGGCGCAGCTCTAGGACCCGATAATATTACCGCCGACTTCCTTAGAGCTGGAAGCCACAATTAACATATACTTCTCGCAGATCATATGACAGACTACCTTCAAAAGGAAAAAATTTCAGACAAGTGGAGGAGGTCGTGCACGGTCATCCTGCCCAAGAAAGGAGAACCGAAGGGATCTTCGTAACTATCGTCGCATATGCTTGTTGAGTGTACTCTACAAGCTCTTCACGAAGATTATTCTCTCGCGCATGTCAAGGACATTGGATGAGGCGCAGCCAGTCGAGCAAACGATTTGGAAAAGGATTCTGCTGCATGGACCACATCCAAGCCGTGTTCATAGTGATCGGAGTTCTCGTAGGAAAAGGGGTTCGCGACAGTACGACACAATATGGCCAAAGCTATTCAGTGCCGCATTGCAGTGGATAATGAAGTCACTCGATTGGGATGAGAAAAGCATACGTATTGATGGAAAATTCATATAAAATCTTCGTTTTGCTGACGGCATTGTCATCTTCTCAAGAAGTACTAGCGAGGAAGAGGTGATGATTAACGAGCTCAACGAAGCGAGGAAAAAGATCCGACTTCGCATAAATCGAAGGAAGACCCAGTTCATGAAAAACTCATGCTGCGAAGGCAAAAAATTGAATTGGAAGGTTCTCTCATTGCAGAGACCACCTCGTTCGTTTATTTTAGGCGATCAGTGAACATGCAAAACAACATGAAGAAGGATCCAGATAGAAGAGGAGGGCAGCTTGGGCCGCATTCGGGCATCTCAAAGAAGCCACCGACCAACTGAAGGACCCGAAAATCCGCGCTCGCTTCTTCGATTCTTCGGTTTTCCCAACGCTCTGTTGTGCTGCAGAGACATGGGTTGATACTTCAACTACGTCAAGAATGCTGAGAACTACTCACGGAGCGCTTGAACGATGTCTTCTGAAATATAACCTGCACTCTCAATATGTAGCCGGAATGCGATGCTCTGACCTTCGAAATATGTCACATCTTCGAGATCCAGGAGAATATACATCGATAGCTAAACATAGATGGGCCGGTCACATAATGAGAAGAACAGACGACAGATGGAAGAAAAGAACAGCAGAGTGGACTCCAAGAGAATGCAAACGTTCCCTAGGACGACCACCTGCACGTGGGCGGACGTGTTCGTAAACAAAGTTAATCAGCTGTACCCGCAGCTGCAGTTTTTTTTACAGACCACGATGTGAAACTCGCAAGCGCTATGATGCTCGAACAAGACCACCACCATGGACTACGACTGCGAGAGAAAGGAGCGAATGGCATATGTGCTGGAGTCCACACAGCTCGTGAGGACGGACCGTGCAATTATCTAAGTATCCAAGCAAGTTTGCCCATAGCTAGGCTTTCTGATGGCAGTGTTTAAGTGTTCAATTGGTGACTCGGTGGGTGATCTTCTGCTTCGCCAGAAGTCAACAAAGATTCCATGCTCTCTAATCTCGGTGCCATACTAAAAAGTATTGTCTCAGTTTGTCAAATAGAAACGGATGTAATCAATTGAACGATAAACTTTTGTAGTATTAACCATTGAAGCACAGTGCGCTAAAATGCGCGCAGAAATAAAAAGCTATTCCAATTGTTGACTTTTTCTTCACTACCTACTACAATTTTACATGGCGGAGTACTATATGGAATTCAGCCGCAATGATGTTGAGATGTTGCAAATCTCCGGACCGCAGGTCTGCGGTGGTGATCGAATACGCTATTACCCTTTCCGGGGCTATAGCGTGTTTACAAATATCTTAACATAGTTATGATTCAATTTCACATTATATCTTCCCATGAAAAATTGTAGTAGGCAGTTAATTAGAAGTTAACATTGCGATCTAGACTGCAGGCTCAGTTTAAATGAGTTCAATTACGATTTGTGCTCACGAAGCTTACTGATGGTACTAGTAGACAGAAAACCAGCTGAGAGAAAGGCGAAACGAAGGACCCGCATGGTGTAGTGGTGAAAGTGTTCGCCCTGGAAAAGGTAAAAGGGATACGATCCCACAGCAAACACCTTTGGTGCGGAGTTTTGCAAACATTTTAGTATCGTTGTGGTTGATTCGTTCTAACTGTTTGTTGACCTCAGAAAGGAGTTTCTGAAATTACCGCATCGAAATTCTGCACTTTTTTTTGTTATTGTTCTTTTTTCCTGTATAAATCGTGCATACGAGTTGACATCGTTTGTTAGTAACCTTCGTCGATGCAAAGAAGTGTTCTTGGTTTTCACAATGATACTAACGTATGGTAGGCGTTCTTGTCTTCAATGTTCACCGAGAATTTTCACATTCTTATTCAGAAACTGAACAAGTGTGCCTATACTGAAAATCCTTGCTGTTCTGGGAGAGAACTATTCAAAGGGTGGCAAACGTCTACTAAAGCCAAAAGTCGACAGCTTTCTGTAGTGACATACTTGATAACGCCTCAGCCTCGTTACCCTAAGGCATAAAGGGAAGAATAATTTTTGGACTAGGAAAGAACTAGTCAAATGGAAGTTTTGAACTAGCAGATTAATGTGTAGAGATAGACCATGCAAGCGTTCAATTATCAAATATTGAATCTTGCTGTAATAACTTTTTCAGCAAACCGAATTCAGCAATTCGTATTATTGGAATGAGCGCTACGTTAAACAATTTGGCAGAAGTTGGTAGCTGGCTCCGCGCGAAGGTTTCTGTCACTTTCTTATTCGTGTCTTAAACAACCCTGAACTTACGTATTCTGTGTTTGTTCTATACATCAGTGTGAACATATTTATTGAAGGTAATAGAGACACAGTTTCGACCTGTTGAACTGCATGAACGTATCTGCTGTGATGGTCAGATTAGTGATCTTAAAACCGGGGTGGCTATCAGAAATGTTCCAAAGCGGTTTCGGTTAAAGGACGATCCACACTGTGTCATAGGGTTTGTTCAGGAACAAAATAAATACCTGTCAAGTAGGCTTTCGTTTATCTTATGTTCGTTTTGTCTTTTTTAGCTTAGCAGCAGAGGGGATTTTTTTCCGGAAACTCGTACTTGTGTTTTGTTCGTCGAAGAGCGATGTCGAAAAAGTAAGAACCACTTCTCGATTTTGACATGCTTCTTTCGCTTTGTAATCATTTTTTGCCAAAATACTTTTTGACTTAACAAACTTCTTACTGATTGAAGATATAGAAAAATACAAATCGCCAAATTATTACGGAACAAAAAGTGAGGAAGCACTTTACTTTTTATCTGGAAAGTGTTCTTCAGTTATTTTCTTAAATAAGATGGTACTATTGGTTTCTAAGCATTTCTAGAGCAGTACCTTAGAAAACTACATACTACTACATGAAATGTATGAAGTAAATGTATGCTTGATGCTACATGTATGAAATAAAAAGGATAAAGATCTCGGCGTTGATCAATCGCTAAAGGATGCGACCTGCATTAGACCTCAAGCATCAAGCATGGTTAGAGATTGAATGCGTATATGACCTATGCAGTGATTTTCGGTGTGCTACCTGTAATAAGCCGGCAAGTCTGATGTCAATTTGGTAACACCGGAGAGATGGAGGGCTTGCCGAGCCCAGGGCGCCAGATCGAACCAGCGACCATGTATGTGTTGCGGAGAACCTCCACCAACCAGCCCTGAGCTACTCTCGCCACAAGTATATACACGTAAAAATATATACACATATATATATATGTATCTCTGTTTTTCTTCAACAAGCGGACACGAGGTTAGTATCATAATATTAGAATACAATATGGGACGGTTCGGCGGTTTCGCCTTCTTCAGAGCCTGGATAGGTCAAATTGACATGCGATCTACTCGGCCAAACACTTTCATAACACTAGCAGATAAAAGTTGACAAATAAATTTGCTTCAATGACGCTGAGATATTTGCAAAACTCCGGACCACAGGTGTATGCGGTGGGGAACGAACGCACTATTGTCCTTTCCGGGGAGTAGCGCGTCCACCACCACACCATGCGGGTCCTTCGTTTCGTCTGTCTCTCGGCTTGTTCTAGTAGGCAGTAAATAATAAGTTAAAATTGTGATTGTAACTGTGGCCTCAGCTTAACTGGGTTCATTGCCGATCTGGGCCCTCCAGATCAATCCCGCTGACGGGTGATTGCTGATGGCAAAAGATCGATTGAACTAGCTGAGAGACAGGCAAAACGAAGGACCCGCATGTTGTGGTGGTAGACGGGCTACTCCCCGGAAAGGACAATAGCGCGCTCGTTCCCCACCGCATTCACCTGCGGTTCGGAGTTTTGCAAATATCTCAACATAATTGAAGTTATATTTCACAATGTATACCCTACCGTTAAAAAGAGTAGGCAGTAAATAATAAGTTGAAACAAATTTGCATTCGCATAATAAATCTTCATTCTAAACACCCACCGTTTATTCGTTGTAAGTATTCCAATTAGCTGTTGGATAGCATCGAGTAATACATGGGCAGCGACTGTGTCCGTGTCAGATCATTGAATCAACCTTAGGTATGGCGCTACGTCACACGTGATAACAGGACACTTTTCCTTGCGTTTCATTTCTGCATTTTTGGAATTAATCCAGACCGCTTCAGGAGTTTCACGCACTGATGTTTTGGATTCCTGCTTGAGGATAGTTACTTCAACCTCAAAATATTCTCCGTTGTTGAGATATTTGCAAAATTCCAGACCGCAGGTGTGTGCGCGGGGAACGAACGCGCTATTGTCCTTTCCGGGGAGTAATGCGTTCATCACCACCCATGTAGGTTCTTCGTTTCGCCTGTTCTCCAGCTAGTTCTATCGATCTTTTGCCATCAGCAATTACCCGTTATCGGGATTGCTCTGGCGAGCCCAAATCGGCAACGAGCCCAGTTAAGCTGAGGCTGTCGTCGTAATCATGTTAACTTTTTATTTACTGCCCACTATAATTTTCACGGCATGATATTATTTGAAAAACTACAATGATGCTGAGATATTTGCAAAACTCCGGACCACAGGTGTGTACGGTGGGGAACAAACATGCTATTACCTATTCCGGGGTAACGCGATTGCTGATGGAAGAGATCGATAGAACTAGATGAGAGACAGGTGAAACGGAGGACCCGCATGGTGTGGTGGTGAACGCGTTACTTCCCGGAAAGGAGAATAGCGTGTTCGTTCCCCACCGCAGTCACCTGCGGTCCGGAGTTTTGCAAATATTTCAGCATCATTGAAGTTATATTTTGCAATATATCCAGCCATTAAGAAGAGTGAGCGGTAAATAATAAGTTAAAAGTCTCCGTTGTGTTTCTGCGTCCTGTACGCGGCCAGCGGAATGTTTGGTTTTAATTTAGATTTACCGACTAGGTGTTCTTTTATGTCGACGCAGAGCGATCTACCCGTTTCGCCAACATATTCGTCCCCACATGCTTTGTAGATGTTTATGTACATTGTACCCGAACTCGTGCAGTCACCGTCTCTACCGTTAGGGCAAGTTATTCAGTTTTGTACATAGACGGTCATATGGACGGTTACGAGCTAGCTGGCGTCTTAGAGTGTCCGATGGTGTTTCTCTCACTCTTAGGGGATTCTCTAGACCGGTCCTTATTAAGCAACATTTTATGGCTGCACTTTTTTTTTTTTTTGAAGTAAAGGGCAAGAGGAATATAGTGGGAAATATGAAGAAATTCTTTAAACGATAACACGAAATCCCTTCTACGAGTTGTCAATTCTTGTAGTGCAAACACCATCTTTGAAAAAATTCTCAAAAGGTGGTGGAGAGTCGCTGTGCACGCAGTTTTAAATTTTATAGTTTTCTTGACAAAAGTGAAATTTTTGACATTAATTAGCAGTTAATTCTAATTGCATGGACTAATGTTTAGAAGTTTGGCCGGGACAGCGCAGTGATTAGTGATGCCATCGATCTGGAAGCAAAGGCGGTAGTTCGATCCCTACGTTCGTTCTCTGCTCTAACCTTCTCCTCGAATCAACGTGGGAACGCCTTAGACCAGCTATCTCCAGGATTACAATGAGAATCGACTAAAACCAGCATTCTACGTCATTTCTAAAGAAGACGAAATCCCAAGCAGCAACTGAAACGAACGCGAAATGTTCGAAGACCATTGTGCACGATGAATGCGAGGGAAACGAATTGAATGCAGGAAGCGCTGAGATCCGCACGGTAGTAATGATGGAGGGTAATATAATAATATTAACAATAATAACAAAAGCAGTAACAATAATCTGTTCGCATTTTCTCCAATCTTGCTTTCATTGCTTTTTTGCCTGTGTACTTTGTAACCGACTTAGTCACCTGATTGTTACCACTTACAGGTGGCTCTTGATCTTGCTAAAGTTTTGGATGGCATTTACCGCTCAAACGAAGTGATCGCTTCAAGGGTGAATCGTTCCGCTCTTCGAAGAGTGCAGGAGAATTTGAAGCGATCAGCTGGTAGTCTGGATACCGTTTTGGCGCAAACACTTCCTAGAGGGGTGGCGTTCCACCACGCAGGTAACGATTAGAGCGATCGAAACAATTGTCATACCAATTTTTTTCATTCTGTGGCGGCGGGAATAAAATCTTATACTTTAGCACCTATGGTTTGTGATTTCGGGCAAAGAGTGCGCTACTTGTTGAAAAATTTCGGCTTGGGGAAATATTTTCCTGTTGATTCTTACTCCATCATTTTTACTTCATTTTAACTATGTTAACCACTTTTTGTTTTCCTTTTTTTTTTGAAATAACTTCACCTTTTCCACGTTATTCGCCTGTTATGTGATTAACCAAGCTGTTTAACTGTTTCCAGTAACTCTACTTCACAATTTCATTATGTTTTAATAGTAATGTTTTACAAGGTGTTCACATACATGTTAAGGGTTAACAGCTGAGGAACGAGAGTGTGTTGAAGACGGTTTCCGATCCGGCGTGATTTTGGTCTTGGTAGCAACAAGCACGCTTTCATCCGGTATTAATCCCTAGTGTTTCTACTAAGGAGTCATTTGTATTCTTATTTGATCTTATGTGATTCATTAAAACGTGCGCGACGAAAAAAGCGAGTCAGAAACATATATAATCTGTTTAAGAAGTGGATTCATACCACAAAATCTTTGTGAATTGGAAGCGAACGGAAATATTTTTACACAAAGATTACGCGTTTGTGGGGCGTCGACATTAACTGCTTTCCTGGATGAAAGCCTAGCAATAGCATTTTGGTGCTCGTGAATTTGTTCGTTATATAGTCCTGTATATGTATACTACATTGGGTTCACTGAAAATACTTTTGCTGATGGCAAATCCAAATTCAAATCGTGAAGTACCCCAATAGTTCAGGTGTCAATCTGCCGGCTGGTAGAGTCGTTATCAAAGCTCAAATTCGAGGCCCTGCCGCAATTAACGCGACATCCTACAAGCAAATGAGTGGTAGATCTGGTCGATTGGGAGAAGTGGAAATAGGTAACACTACACCTCATAACGTTTTTTGTCATGTTTGAACAGCAGTAAGTGATTCACACCATCATCTTTAGTATGGTCTATCTTATTCTGAGCGAATACGAGTATGAATTATCAGCATAGTTGTTTTCATTAAAGAATGTGGATCTCATCACTATTTCATGTGTTGACGACTTTATTGCGGTTTTCCTAGAAGGGGTTGTTATCTAATTGCAAATCTACTACATCGGGCTACAGCTGTTTAGCTAAGTAGAAATGGGCTCAAATTTCGCAGTTGCGCATATTGCAAAGAAATATTTTCCGCAATCTAATAACTATCTCTTCTGTTTCCGTTTTTCACTTCGGGAATGACACTAACAGTCAGTTCACTATAAGTGTTCGGGTACTTTTTGCTAAAATCTAAGAATACCTCGATCAGTTGCCGACGTCTTTCTGCTTGGGCAATTAGTAAACGCCGCTTTTCGCCTTCTTGACACCCAAACGGCGGCACTTGAGATAATTACTGCTACCGTAATCGCGCGTTCATGTTTGCATACGGTGACGTTCACTTTGCAACCGTTTATAGTTTACGGATGACAAGTATGGTGTAGTAAGTATTATTGCTCGTAGAGTTTTGTATTCGTCGAGAGAACGAACGGTCTGTGGTTGTGCATGTGGTGTTCCATCATCAATCGTTGCTGGCCGAGTTGTCCGATTAACTGAAATATGAGCAATTCGACGGAGCTGTTCAAGTATTATTTCTCTGAATGGAAGTGTTGTGAAACGTAATTTAAAACATAGTCGGATATTCTCATCGAGGTGTTTCATCGAAGTTCTCATCGGATGGAGGGGGTAGCTGGCGGGTGATAAAGATACTTTCATAGGACTTTTACAGTGCGAAGTCCATCTAGGTTGTGGAAAAGTTTGTGTTTTGAGGTAATAAGCTCTTGCCCTTTTCATTCGACTTATCATTTTTAACAGAAATTCTCTGCACATCCATTCAAATATATGCCAAGTTTAATTTGTTTTAGTTCCCAGGATCGACTTTCTCTTAACCTCGGCATTGGAATATGAATGTGTCGTTTTCTTGTTCAGCAATCGTGAGGTTGTTGAACAGCATACATTTACTTCCATAGAAAAACACAATACAATACAACGCTAGCTAACGTTTCGGCAGTATCGCCTTCTTCAGAGCCTGGAAGGGTATACTGATATACAATCTACTAGGCCAAACGCTTCAATAACACTTACAGAAAGACGAAAGGCTCTTTGCTAATTACATAATCAAAACCCACCGCTTTTTTCGTGACTTCCAATGAGGAAGTTTAGAAGAGCTGATTATAGTCGCATGTGGTTGACGACTGCACCATCCCACATCAAAAATCGATGCGAACGTACGGGATCAGGTCGCGTATGACCTCCGGGCATTCATCCCTGCTATTCGTTGTAGGGTTTTTGGAATTTATCCAAAAAGCCTCAAGGAGTTTTCGCGCTGGTGTTTTGGACTCCTGTGCAAGGATATTGAACTAAAAGTCANAAAACCCACCGCTTTTTTCGTGACTTCCAATGAGGAAGTTTAGAAGAGCTGATTATAGTCGCATGTGGTTGACGACTGCACCATCCCACATCAAAAATCGATGCGAACGTACGGGATCAGGTCGCGTATGACCTCCGGGCATTCATCCCTGCTATTCATTGTAGGGTTTTTGGCATTTATCCAAAAAGCCTCAAGGAGTTTTCGCGCTGGTGTTTTGGACTCCTGTGCAAGGATATTGAACTAAAAGTCAACAGGAGACCACAACACGAGCTCGAAAACTCCTGAAGGTTTTTTTTGATAAATACCAAAAATCCTGCAATGAATATCAGGGATGATTGCCCGGAGGTCATACGCGACCTGATCCCGTACGTTCGCATCGATTTTTGATGTGGGATGGTGCAGTCGTCAACCACATGCGACTATAATCAGCTGTTCTAAACTTCCTCATTGGAAGTCACGAAAAAAGCAGTGGGTTTTTTCGAGAAGTTGTCGATCATGTAATTACCAAAGAGTCTTTCGTCTTTTTGTAAGTGTTATTGAAGCGTTTGGCCTAGTAGATTGTATATCAGTATACCCTTCCAGGCTCTGAAGAAGGCGATACTGCCGAAACGTCGGCTAGCGTTGTATTGTATTGTGCTTTTTATGGAAGTTAATTTGTTTTGTTTTCAACGTTAGCAAAAGCTTATGGATAAAGCGTTCGGCGTCTGTCTATCCCTGAAAAATGCTCCGTTCATTCAATCCCTCGAGGCATTATACAAATGATTGCAATTTGGCCTATACAGTAACTTGCGGACGTATCAAATCAGTCAAATTAGTTTTTTTTTCTAATATACTAGATAACATTGCCATCAATTTGCCATCCCAAAGGCATTCCACTGCGCCACGTCAGCCCTTTAATGGCTTATTTAATTCGAGAAATAGAATTTGAATCCTTAAACGCATTAGGATCAAGTTATTTAATTCAATTATATACCGAAATTTTAGACCGGCGCTTGTGGCGCAATGATCGCAGGAGCCTCTACAACACATACGCTCACCGCGCCCAAGGCTCACCAAGCCTTCTATCCCTCCTGGGTCGACAAATTGGTACCAAATTTGTCTGGAAGAATAGCATCACTGATTCGATGCATCGTTAGGCCACCGCGAATCATTGTAAGGGTCAGATTTTTACTCAATCATCTCAAACGATACTCAGTGAAGTGGAATGCATGACGCGTCTCTCAAGGATTGATCAACGCCGAGAGCTTTAGCTCCGAATCTTTCACAAGATTTTGAAATTTTGAAACCACTGAGATGAGGATATTTTTCGTACACGACAATTTTGACACTTATTTCGAATGCAAATTACATTGTGCGCTGAACTACGTGGTAACGTGCCTTGTCATCGTGATGATGAGACGTTAAATGGGCAGTAGTAGAGCTGCGGCTGGAAGGTCCGTCTTCGCTGTCGCTTTCACTAGCATCGCTTGATTTCTCCACCTAGGAAGGATTCGTTTAAACATGTGATAAGAACGTAATTGCAAAATCGTAGAATTTGATACTGAGCATAATGTCACAGATTTAATTTTGAAGATGAAATATTGGCGAAGCACGATTGGGGAATATAAATGGCACTTGGTTGCATATGTAAATTTTAAGGCCAGATTCCTTATTAATTTTAAAGTTACATAATGACTACCTGCTCCAAATGAGCTGCCGCTTCCATGCTCTTCTTGTGCATCCCTGAAAGCATAGCAGAATTGTTGCTAGTAAAGGAATGAGCAGAATTTCCGGATATTTAGCTGCGATCATTTAAGGACGTGCATTAATTGTGGCGAGCGAGCAATTATTGATGTAGTCATTGGGACAATGGCTCCTTTTGTTGTTAGATCCCCTTGAAGGTCGTTGCAGTCAGACCGTTTCTTCAATAATATCGTGTTCTTTATTGTTCTCGTTTCAGCTAAACTAAACAGGGACATGCAGCGTACGGCTATAGGGTTACAGTGCATCTTAGCTAAAGCTTTTGTTGGTGTGCTTCTGTAATGCTGACAAATCAGAGCATGGTAATCTGAGATGTGTTGGCTATATATGATGAAGGAGCGCTTAAAGGATAAAGGATAAAGCTTTTGGCGTTGATCAATCCCAGAGGGATGCGCCATGCATTCGGTTTCATTAAGTATCGTTAGAAGTGATTGAATGCATATATGGCTTTTACAATGACTCGCGGTGGCCTACTGATGTATCGAGCCAGTGCTGCTATCCTCCTAGACAAGTTTGGTACCAATTCGTCTACCCAGGAGGGATGGAAGGCTTGGTGGGCCAGTGGGCCATGGGCGCAGGGATCAATTCCACGTGTGTGTCGCAGTGGCGCCTCGAACTACTGCACCACATGCGCCCGACAAGGAGCTCTTAACGGATTTTAAGAGTTTAGGTTTCTTAATTGTTGTAGTACTGTCATTCGCTTACAAATAGTCAGTTTAATACAGACAAAATTATTTGGATGCTTGGATACCTGGATGGCCGGTCTTGTAGTACCCAGGAACACCTCCCAGCAACGATGAGGTGATAAACCGTTGGTAGAACACGTACAAAATTGTAATAAAGAACTTGATCTATATTAATGAAATCTAGAAATTTGTGGTCACTGCTTTTTTTTTTTGTTGAGCATATGTTAATAGTGAAACAAATCCATCCTATTTTTGTCTGAAAGTATAAACAAATAAATAATTGTAAAGATATAAAAGAAGCTAAGAAAATAGAGCGGCGCCGTAAAGTAGACGACGGACCATCTGTAACAAGTGAAGAGTCTGGATTAACGTATTTTATTTAAGTAATGTGGAACTATTGATGGCTAGTTGCAAATGCAACAAATTAATAGGATCGTCTAACTATAAATGCATGTTCCAGCATATCTTCGAAGAAATTTCCTCCAGCATTGTACAAGCTGGCTTTTACAAGTCACCCCTTCCCCACTTCCTTTTCTATTTTGCCTATATTGCCTATATGGCCTATATTCTACATGGGCAAAAATCAACCTTTATTTATACTCGTTGCTAGTTTTCGCTCATCATGCTCATATACCTGGGTGATATTTGCTCTGCGCAACGTTGTACGAATCCCTTATGGGCCATGAGAGCTGTATATAATTAGAATAAGTGCGGTGGGGAAAGGCGTAAAGGGTTGAAATCGTCCCGTGTAGTCGCTTCATCCCCGCAGCCCATCACAAACAACGCACGTTGGCTCCCGTTTCTGCCTGCCTCTTAATTGCTTGTAATTGGAAACACATTCAAGAATCATGGGAACTAGCCATGATCGTAAGACGGATTACGGTAACAGAATCCATACGTTCTGCATATTCATGAAACTGGATATTGCAGATTTTTAGGCAATGGAGAAGTTTTTCTAACAAAACTACCATTTTGCAGTTTCAAAATCCGAAGGAACTAGGAGAATAGATGTGTGAGCCATCGTTACACACCATGTTTGCCCTTCTTCCGAATTTTTTTTTTTGATTTCTTTTGAAATTTGATAACGTTCAAGCTCTTTGGTTACTAAAAGCTTTCTAATTTGCTTCCTCTTAGTTATTCTTACCATATATTTTTTTCTGTTAGCATTATACGCGTAGCTTTGCGATGTCTTGTTTGTGAGTGGAATGTTTTTAATATTGGTCCACCGCCCTATACTTTTAGCAACTGTAGTATTTAAGTTTGAGTTCAAAACATATCCATTTGAAATTTGGAAACGAATGTTTTAAAGGAACTGCGATGACAACGAAGAAATCAGAAGCATAGAATTTTTGATCAAGGTAGCAGTTGCATTTTTAAGGAGGAGTACACTTGAAGTGCTTAGAGGGATACGAATCGCTTTGATGAAGGAAGAGGTGATCTCAGCGTATTATGTTATAAGGGGCACGGAAATACTTATCAAAACTTGTCAAAAGTTTGTGTGAACGAAAGTTTTCAAGAGTGTTTGGCTGCACATCCAATTTCGATTAACTGACGCCGTGTCCAGTAGTAATATTGGTGAAGTAGTTTAGTGAGCTGTAGTTCTTTCCCATTCTTAAATGGAGTTCTGGTTATAAATAACTTTCTTGGACTAAAAAATCAAGTATCTTTCCATTCTAGTACCGCTGTTACTGTAGAATCACTTCCTGGAATTAATATTTACGTCTCTATTCAAGAAATACGCAGTTCAATTGGAATTCGAGAACCAAGTGGTTACCGACAGGATTTTATTATTGGTAGAATTGATTTACTGCAGTATACAATACATATATCTACCAGTTCGGAGGAATTTTCCCGCAGTGCAAGCCCAAATCTTGATGGCAGATGATAGCACGTTGTTCTCTACCTCGACAATTTGTTTTTACCGTATCCCACGAATTCACACTTTAATTGCGATTATTTTTATGCTTGTAGGACCATCGTGCTACAAATTTCGATGTCGACTCAGTAAATTCGCATGGTTTTTGAAGCAAGAGCAAAAAAAACCAATCGTTTTACACGTTTCTTATGGGATAATAGTTAGTGCATTCATTGGAAAATGAGTTTTATCACTAACACTCTTCTGCTAATAGAAATTTTGTAGTTCCTCTGTTTTCCCATGGAAACGGCGGATATTACTCATTTGTTTTCCTTCATTTTATAAGAAGGTAATAAATGGTACTAACCTAGAAGCCACGGTGCAGCACTTTGTTGTGGGTCAGAGGTCTCTGCGGTTTTTGTGATTGTGTCAGGTAGTGGAAGCGAATGTCGAACCATTGCACCGTAGAGCCCATATTCTGAAATTCGGATTTCATTGTAACTAGTATTACTTTAACTAACTTTCTAGTTAACTCAGATCGAACAGAAAGGTTCAAAATTTGGATACACATTATATCAGAACTTTTTATTTCCAGATATTTCTGCCGAAACTGTGTTTTGATTGATTTATCATCGTATTCAAGTGTTCTATGTTTCATTCGTAGCACCTTCATCTTCTCACAGCGTAATCCTACTTCTCTTTCTTCAAAACAGCTATTCTTAACCTTTATGGGAAGTCTCTTTCTCATCGAAGACCACCGACCTGCCATAATTGTGCTTTTTCCCCAGGTTTTCTCGGTTTTCCTCCATTTTGCCCGACGATTTTGAAACCATACCTGAAAATAAAGCAAACATTCCAGAGAAAAAGGAATTATATAAAGTTTTGTCCAGAATGTTGTCACAAGTTTTCATTTGACATTTTGTGCATCACAAGACACTCAGTTAATTCCATTGCCAGTCAACCATTTTCGTGCAGTAATTTTCTTCGAAGTCCTCTCTTGATGAGGCAGAGTTAGCCTTTAAGTTAATTATGTTCTTGATGATGAGTCACTTGGCTATGAAAATGTGCAAACGCAATGTTGAGTGTTTCTCACTTATTTTTTTATACATACTTTCTCACTACTATGTCATTCAACCAAATGTGGGACCGAACATTCTTTTAGTTCCAGCATGACGTTGATTGTCTTTTGAGCTGGTTAGCTACTTTTTTCAGGATTTTTATCGTTAAGTATATCTCAAATTCTCTTTGTGGCCGAATGCTGTTCAGTTTTACTCGGACAAGTAACGAAAACTCGTAGGTCCGCATTCCCATTTCATTGGAACTCTGTATGAATGCGCTTTACTCATCGTTTTAAAAGTATTGCTTGGTCCGATGTACTAAATAATTTTTTTAACAGATAATTTAAATTCACCTACGGTAATTCACAACGGTAGTTCTAAATCAATTTTGGGCTATGATAATCCAATCGACAAATCACTTTAGTTAGGGTGTCAGTGGTGGCTAGTGGCCGGCTATTGAGCACTGATTGGCCATTGTGTAGCAGTTGTGTAAATGAAATCAGAACGTGCAAGTGTGAAAAATGACGCCTGTTGACGAACATCACTGAAGTGTTTGAGTTTCATCTACTTTTAAAGGATTAGTGATACCTGTATTCTGTCTTCTGGAAGTTCAGTTTTCATAGCTAACATTTCGCGAGCGTAGACGTCTGGATAATGTGCTTCTTGGAATGCTTTTTCAAGCTCATCTATCTGGTACTGGGTGAAGATCGTCCTAAATCTTCCAAGATTGCTTATCGAGATATTCGGCATCTTACTATATCCCGCGCACTCCAATGCTCATTGAATTCCAATGATTTTATCGTTGAATGCGATATGCAGGTATAACCTCCTAAACATTTAAATTTCCGTTGACACCGTTTATTCTCACCTGTGTCGTCGTTTCTTTCGTTTGGTCTTTCCGGCTGAGATGGATTGGTTATTTGCCTCATCTATTGCCAGAGACTGTGATTCTGATACCGGCATATTATAGTGGATATGATTTCCTTAATTACCTTTTTCCATCCTTTGTAACTATTCGAGGAACTTCAAACTACGTTTATTTACTATGTTAATAACTACAAATTTCATGAAATCAAAACGATTCAAGCTCGTGCAAGACTTTAATGCAAAATAATGAAATATCTGTAGTTTTTACCCGAGTGCGTTCCCGCGATTAACTGATCAGACCCACACAGTGGTCTATCGAATGGCGAACACGAACCAATGTCCATCGTAAAACTCTGTAAATACGATTTTTAGACACATACTGCTTGCATAGCAGTAAATTTTTTCTAAAAAGAATGTCATTGAGCAACATCTTAGGCATTAATATACATTTACTGATATTGTACTGAAAGTTTATTCTCGATTCTGCTCATCCATTGATTTTTGTATTTATTCATTTAATAGGCCGAGACTTACTTGTTGTGGAAAGAATCCTTGAGGACAGTATCCATGGGACAAGTAAGCGTTCCCATGTAGGCCTAGGATTTCGTGAATAGCGAAGCTAACACGTTGGGGGCCTAAGCTGGTGACTGGACCTTGAATCGTGCCCATAGGGCTTGTGGCCATCATTCCGTTTGAGAGCTGCATCTCTTCGATAGCCATAATTCGTCGTTCTGAAGACGAAGAACAGCGGGACGCTACTGTAGGAATACGTGCGATGGGCGGTGCTTTGAGTCATTGGCTAATTTACAGACGGTTGAAGAGGGCAGTAGGCAGCGTGGCTGAGGCAGTAGTGAAGAGGCGGAGATCCAGTTCTCCCACATTGCAATCGGACACAAATTAACAATCGCCCTTTTAGTCGAGTTCAATCCTAATCAAATTGCCCATTTATAGTAGGACAATGTGTTGAAATGCAGTAAAAGCTGGGATGAAAGCTTAATGTGTTATCTGTTGAATACGAAGCGCGCTAATTCTGTGAGGTTCAAAAACGACATGATTTTCAATTTTTACCCAGATGAGGCCTTCCTAAAGAACATTGCTTATGTTCTATGCTTGTTTTCGTTCATTCTTTACAAGGAGACCATATGAAAATGAGGACAATGGAAGTAGAACACTGATGAGAAAATTTGAAAAAAGCATAATGGAAGCAAATTATGAGTAGTATAAGTAGTGTCGTTTGAATGATCTAACAGAATTGTTCACGCATCAAGCGATTTGCTTATTCGACATTCTTACGAAGGAATGTTAATTTAACCAGTTGTCATTTATTGGCAATTTACGGTAAAATTAAGCCAGCGAGTAAACGTGAGTGAATTATAAAGCAGTGGCGGCGTGTGTGCCAAGAAGTGGCTTCCTTTCAAAAGTGTTTTAGCTACTTGGTGAAATTATTTTTATTACGGACGCGAAATTGTATATAAAATGACGGATTCTGATTTGAAAAAACTGAATGGCATTGCGTTTTTATCGAACCATTAACTGTCGACTGTCGTGTGAATTTATCATTACATGAGAGGCGTGGAGTGATATGGACTGTTATATAGCCTTATTTGTTGAACAGTTCGTTCTTTCAACAATGGAATTTATTTGACGATGAAGGTGAAGGAACTCAGATAATGGATTTAGGAGAAAGTGTGCTAGCAGTCCGGAAAAATGAGCTGAAAGAGCTTCTTCGCCTAATTCATAATGTTCCACAGGATTCCAGTCACTCCATGAGAGATCACACTAAATTCTTACTTGAGGTGAAGACCACCTTGGAATTTCGTTATTCCCTTTTTCTTTGTGTATAGTGGGTGTGTTCTACATATGTAAATTTATGCATGTGCACATGCATGTATATACATGTATGTATTTATGTATAAATATCAAAATATATGTACGTGTATGTATACAAAAAATTCCAGTGTATTTGTGATGGAATAGCGACAACAACGGAGGAATTGGAAGAAGCTATGCAATTTACTCTTTTCAAATCGCAGAAGAGTGTTGAAGAAATATTGTCTTACTTGAAATCGAATCGTTTTGTCGTAGTGGAAGATCTGAATGACGGTTAGTGTGGTTGCAAAGTCTTCTATTGCTGTTTCTTCTCAAATTTCTCATATAAGTGCTTAAGTGGCACACCTTCACAAAACGTCATGTGGTCCCCCCGTTATGTTTTCTGTTTTCCATTTGTGTTGCTGATTTGTTAACACTGATTTTCTGAAATTTCGAAAAGCGATACTGTGGATTTCACGATATCGTACCTACAGCCAGTCGTTTGTTCTTTTGGATCAAAGAAAAGTCTGTCGAATCGATTTTCTCCAGTCGGCAGCGGTTCCCTTCAGAAATTTACTTCTATTTGGGTTTCGCATGGTATTTCTGAATTTCTTCTTAGCTTACGAGGATCTGTTGGGAAGGAAAGTCCTCACTGTACGTGGTAGTTCCACACTTTTTTACCATATCAAGAATTTCGTTCGTTGAAAATTTTACGTGATTATTGCGGTAGAAGGTGAAGTGTTAAGCCTAGAAAATTGTATGTAAGCAGTTCAGTAGAATGTTGATACTCTTGTTGTATATAAGTAACTGATACTTACTTGATACTTCAATGGTCCGTCCTCACTGGTTGTGCTGGCCCCAGCATAATCTCCATTTCTCGGAGATTTGCTGGTTAAGTCATTATGGTTCCCTGGAGTCCCGCGGTCAGTCTGGTGAAAGTGCCCCAGGTCTTCACCACCACAGGTAGTTGCATCCCTTGTGGAGCAGAGGGAGATTTACCACCACACGACTTTGATACCAGGACGGTGATAGATCCTCGTATTGGTTTATTCCTAGCTAGGCTTCCTGATGGAAACGCCCGGATTCCTTTTCAGCTTGGGAGATCCTGCCGGGGGGACGAATCCCGCCGCTGTACATCGCAGTTCGACACCCAGGAACACGTCCCAGCCACGATGAAGCGGTAAACCGTTGGGAGGGTAACCGATATGTTGGCTAAAAATGTGGGAAGGATACTCAGTACGATGTCTGCAAGTGCGAATAAATTGGGAGGTTTTCTTTCTAGGTTTACAATAATCATGTGTGAAACTTTTTACGAATTCTGTTCTTTAAAGCTTTGTCAGTGTCACCTACACAGTTGGGTCGTGCAGCGTTAGTGTCTGCCCTTCCACCAGATGCAGCCCTCTTTGTGTTCGCAGATCTCCAACAAGCCACCAAAGCCGTGGCGCTGGACACTGAGCTTCATATGTTATACTTAGTGAGCCGTTTTTTTTTTTGAAAATTGCTAAAAGCTTCTCAAGTTATCGCATATCATTAGGTCACTCCAACAAATTGTACGGTTTGGCAGGGATGTGACTGGAATCATTTACAGAACATCTTTTTGAAGTTGCTTCCAGGAGAGAAACGAGTAGCTAAGCTGGTCTGTTTAGTCCATTTTTCCATATTCTTTACATGTGATCCTTAATATCCTTAATTTTGTGTGACCTGCTCTTGTACGTCTTGCACGTAACCTAAGGTACCTTGCTAGACTATGCTATGGTCGCTGAATGTATTCAAGAAATGTCTTTCCGGTGTCTCCTTAACTAGATGCGGCGTTTAATTTCTGTAAACAACTAATATTCTTCGTGACCAGTGAATGAGTAATATATGGACTTGTAGGATTGCACGCTAGCACACATATTAGCATATGTTGGGAAATCAAGTTAATTGCTATCCTGGGTGATTGCAAACATTTAAGGTAGGTGCGAATAACGGTTTCATCGTTTCACGCGTTCGTGGAACTAGCATCTCAACATTTGATCGGAACTATCAGGTCTTTTGCGCAATTTTTCTCTTATTTTTATCAATGTAGTGAATTCTGTTTAGCTTCACCTGCGTTTTTTTTCTGCTCTTGCCCTTTTCGACATCATCAATGAGAAGTCGATCGAGGACGTGGCCAGTTACTTCAAAATTAGTCGAGGAACGCTGCAGACTCTTCAGCAGCAGAGCGCCACATATGCAGGTATCTTTATATTTGCAATCCGTCATCAGGAATGGTAGAATCAGCAGAACCTCGAAGTGCTAGCTGGGTAATTGGCTTCTGTCCCCTGTGCCTACGAATTGCCTCTATTAGGACCGCTGATTGGCCCCGTTAGGAAAGAGACGATGTGTCTTGTGGTTTCATTAAATAAGTGATGGTCCTGCCAATCTTACAAACAAATGTCATACCTTAGAAATCGTGGAGTACTTTTGATAAGGATCTTATTGCCCCTACACCATCTAGACATCGGTCTTTAAATGATGGGTGCGCCGTTAGAAGTATGAAAGTATTTTTATCCTCTATATTTGATATTTTTAAGTTTTATAGCCCGTTTTACAAATTTTCCGAAATCTGATGGAAAATGAGACAAGGAAATTCCAATGCAAAGCTTCTTTTTTTTGATGAACTGCCGACGGAATTTAACAGTGGTTGGTCTTATAGGTAACTGTTTTGTTATGTAGATTCACATAAGTTTTAACCCTAAGTGGAAAAAAGTCAAGGTGCAACCTGGATTCTTTTTAGTCTCGGTATTTCTGGCAAATTGCTTTAAGAGTACAACTGGTTTAGCTATGGTGGTTTCTTTCTGCTCACATCTCGGTTGGACATACCTGCGGGATCTCTTACGTGGTTTCGCGACTCGACTTGCGTTTGGAGTGCGGAGGGAGCTCACAGAACTCGTTTCCATTGAAGGAATTGACGCCAGTCGGTTAGTTCCAATTTGTTTAGTCCCAAGCACTTTATTACTTATGTATTTGACATGCAGAGCCCGCGTATTCCATGACCACGATATTACGTCGATGGTGGAGCTGTCAAATTGTACGGTGAAGAAAATCGCAGATCTTCTTTCGTTAGCTGTACCATTTAGCAGGTATTTTCGCAAATCACTCTAAAGAATATCTTTTATGGTTATATTATAAATGATACTCTGAACACTGGGGAAGAGTGGGACGAATTGCTTGGAATAGAGCATTCTACAGTGACGTAAGTAAGCTTTATTATTATTTATCCATATTCCTTTGGTTAGTCTACTGTAGATGATGGACGGTTGCGATTGGCTCAATTGGTGTAACGAGTGGTGCGGGTGTGTGCGCAATTGTTGGTGGGGCAAAACGTCTGCGTATTGAGAGCGATAATGCGATGGTTCGAACGCTCGCTGCTGGCCGGGGAAGCGGTTAGTTGAAAAACGAGGAATGTTGTAGCAGAGTGTGCCGTCGAGTTTGGCACTCTAGTGAAAGTCTCCTTTCAATTCACGCTAATGACGGTATTAGGGGTCATATAAAGTTCAACACGTTTGTAATGATGCTTATTCTTTGATGACTGCCGATAATTCGTCGACAACTGAGGTAATTGAGGAGCTGAGACCTGAAAAAAGTTATGGAAGAGACTTTCCCCCTTTTTGTGATTTTTAAGAATTTTTTTAAGAATTAAGATTTTCTCAGAAGCGTGATTTTTATAAAATAGTTTTGTTTTAGCTCTCTTTTTACACCAAAGTTTAACTAATTATCACCGAGGAATGAGAAGGGTTTAAAATGTTTTTCGCAAGTGTGGTGACCTTGGGCATCAGCAGGACAAAACTTATCTTATTGGATGTAATTCTGCTTCTTCAAACGCTTCACTTTGCAAAATGTAGTCTTCTTTGAGAAGATATGAAAAAGGAACACCTATGGAGTCTAGAAAGTCAGATTTTCGTGATCCAAGCCTCTATCTTTTCGTAAGGAAGCAGTTCTCCTTTTCAATATTTTCGTACGTGTAGTATCTCATGGTTTTTTATTTCCCTTAGCAGAGTTATGTTATGAATTATGGACTCTGCGCAATGTTGAAAGGGTGAATTCTTTTTGGCCTGGCATTGAAATCCTTGGATCTTTTTAAGTACTAGGTAGAGCACTTACGAATTTAAGTCAATGCATTGTGCCGCGTGTTAATTATGTGTTAAAGAGTTCTTTACTTTCAAGAGTTCTTATTTGTTTTGCAATAGCTTTTTTGTTAATCAACTGTCTGTGGTGAAATCATCACTAACTCATGGATTCGGTCAAGCTCGTTAGTCACCAGATCCTATTTGATTCACTGCATTGTCTGCGGGGCAATGCAATATGGGTGCTTTGTTGCGCGTCTCAATTACCGTATTCGAATAGTGTTGGATGTGTAATTGCTAAAGATACTGTAATTAGCTGTGAGGTCGTATTCTAAAATGTACACATGTCGAAGTCATCTTTTTCTATCTCTTCCTCTCTATTTCTTTGAGCTTTATTCTGTGTTAAAATGTTAATATGTCTGTTCGGCAATCGAACGGTTTCACATAGTCCACATACGACATGAAGCCATATTGATTGACTGAAAGGTAAGCGCATGAGTTTGTGAAAGAAGTCGGGGTTTCTTAATGCGTTAACATGTTTTAGTATTTTAGTCTAAAAAATTTAAAATAAAATGTAGTAATGTTAACTTTTTTGTTTACTACGTTACAATTTTCTACGGTAGTCGTGCGGAGACATTTGCAAAAGTCCGAACCACAGGTGTCTGCGATGGGGAACGAACGCGCTGCTACCCTTTTCGGGGCTAACGCGTTCACGACGACACCATGCATGCTCTTCGTTTCGCTTTTCTCTCAATTGGTTTTTGTTATGTAATAAAAATATTAAACGAAGAGTAAATACAGATACACGATATAAGAAAAAATAGTAAAATAACATTTCCAAAACCCGGTTTTTATTTAATCTCGGCCTAAATATTCGGCACTTTATTCGATTATTGAGCTAGGAAGAGGGTGGCAGGAAGTGAAAATAATATATTGTCGAGGCTCTACTCTGGTCATAAAAACTTCATCAGCAGTCATTACGATGCTGAGATAACTCGAAAGACCGACTTTCTATAAACCTCGGCATAGATAGTTGATATATTTATTTATGTGATCTTATAAACTGATCTTCTTAAGCTGACGCGAGGTTGGTACAGATCTTCGTTGTCGTTGTTTTGATGTTATTGATCGATGGCTGACGTCTCGGCGACTTCGCCTTCCTCAGTCTGCACGTAACATCACGGCTCGGAGGAAGGCGAAGTCGCCGAAACGTCAGCCATCGATCAAAAACAACGACAACGACAACGAAGATGCTGAGATATTTGCAAAACTCCGGAACGCAGGTATATGTGGTGGGGAATGAACACAGTGTTTAACGTTTTGTTTTCTGCCTTTTATAATTTTCATGGCAGGTTACTAAGCGAAATACAACCACAACGTTGCTGAGATATTTGCAAAACTCTGGACCGCAGGTGTCTATGGTGGGGAACGAACGCGCTATTATCCTTTCCGGGGAGTAACGCGTTCACCACCACACCACGCGGGTCCTTTGTTTCGCACGTCTCTCAGCTATTTCTATCGATCTTTTTGCCACAGCAATCACCCGTCAGCGGGGTTGATCTGGGGAGCGCAAATCGGCATAGAACCCAGTTAAGCTATGGCTGTAGTTGAAATCACAATGTTTAACGTTTTGTTTTCTGCCTTTTATAATTTTCATGGCAGGTTACTAAGCGAAATACAACCACAACGTTGCTGAGATATTTGCAAAACTCTGGACCGCAGGTGTCTATGGTGGGGAACGAACGCGCTATTATCCTTTCCGGGGAGTAACGCGTTCACCACCACACCACGCGGGTCCTTTGTTTCGCACGTCTCTCTCAATGAACACAGTATTTATTATCCTTTCCTGTGGCTAATATCTTCATCACCACATTACCACCGTATTTCACATAGTTCACTGTCGTGGAAAATTTTTACTAGACAGCAAATAAAAAGTGATCATTATCAGCAGTTGTCAAAAATCCTTATAGTTGGAATTTATCTTGGGATTTATTCTGGATGGCAAAAATCACCAGTGGTTGAAGCGAGAATCCTACCTAGAGTTTCCATTTCTTTGTGAAAACAGGCCATGCCCATCAATTAAACAACACTGTAGTAATAAATTTCTTTAATGAACTTTGTGACACTGTAGTTTAACTTGAGGTGATTCGTTTGTTTACTTTATTTTGAGCATATCGCTCGTTCACTTTCTCGATTTGTGCTGCTTCGAAAGGAAGGATTTCCTTCGTGCGGGATTTGGAGAATGTACTAGTGTTTGAAAAATGTTATGGACTTAGGCGAAATTTTGGAGTGTGACTATTCTACCGAAGTACCGAGGTAAACATGTCTGCTTAGCTGTGTAAGTGATACTCTTCGTATCAAACAGAGGCAGTATACATTTTCATTGAAATTGGCTCTTCATCACTTCATCACTTATGGAAAGGTTCGCTTACCGAGGGTTACGTAAAAATTGGATTTATACATGGTACTCCACTTCTCTAGACGAGTGCTTTCATTGTAAATTACCATGCTTATATAGTTGTATAGTCAAGATGCCAGAATCCATCATCGCCCTGGTGTCAAACTAGTCGCATGGTGGCAAACCTCTCTCTTATCTACAACGGCGGCGGCTGCATGCGATAGTGAAGACCTGGGACAGACTTCGGCTAGGTTGACCTGGGCACTCCAGGGAACCACAATGGCTGAACCAACAAAGCTAAAAGAAATGCGAATTACGCTGGGGTCCGCACAATCACTGAAGACGGATCATCCAAGTATCCATAGTCAAGATCACAAACGATAAGTCCTTTAAGTCCTTCGGGACTTGCAAGAGGATATGGTTTAAAACGAAACACATGATTGGGTTTTACATGACACTTGAATGGCCCGTCCTCACTGGTTGTACGGGCACCAGCATAATCCCTATTTTTTGGAGATTTGCTAGCTAAGCCATTGTGGTCCCTGGAATCCCGAGATCAGTCTAGTCAATGTCTGCCCCAAGTCATCACCATGACAGGCAGTCGCAGCTGTTGTGGATCAGGGGAAGATTTGTCACCATGCGACTTTGATATCAGGACGGTGGTAGATCCTGGTATTGGTTAACTCTTAGCTAAGCTTCCTTATGGAAACGCCGGACTCTTTCTCAGTTTGGAGACCCTGCCAAGGAATGATTTTCCCGCTGTACATCGCAGTGCGATACCCAGTAATACCCAGCCACGATGAGGCGGTAAACCGTTGGGAGGTTGGGTAAATAATGGTAATGAAAGTTCCTAAATATGCACGCAGGTGTTCATATCGAAATTTGTAGTGCACATTTCACAGTGCTCAAGATCACGAAGGCTGGTCACGTCAAGCTGGTTAACTGTATCTGTTGGGTGGTAATTTCAACGAAGTGGAACCATGTGTTAAACGACCACTAGAACCATTCAAATGTGAGAGTCAGTAGCTGCGAAGCGGAATCTTGAGAAGGAACGGCAGCTTGAGTCCCTCTAATGGAAAGAAATCGTTGCACAACATAACACACTGGCGAACGGAAACGTTGCTTGAGTTATTTACTTTTTCAACTAATAATGCAATGGGTATGAACTGAGACCATTTAATAGTACGCTCAAACCTGAACAACATGTCAAAGGTTTTAAGTTCACGTCGCTTTGGTTACTTGGGTTTTTTTGTTTGAAATGTTCTCAGCTTAGAAATTCGTATTTCTGTTTATATCATTCTTTTTGACGAGTTCATGGTCCTTTTTTCTTTAGCATCAACTCCTCGGATGGTCTAAATGAATGGCTATTTGGGGAACCACGGATGCGACTGGTTGAGGCAGCGAATCTCCTCAAGGAACGTGCCATTCGTGCCGTTGAAGAACATCTTCGGTAGAGCTTATTAATGCTGTGCAACCTATATTGTAGTTTAAGCAGATCTTTTCTACATATTTCGCTCGTTTCCATTTTCCATAGCCATTTGTTCCACTAAACTTTGGGATGGTTTTACTTGACGTGGGAGCAGTCTCTACATTACGATATTTTGACTTTTATTTTGTTTTATTGCGTTTATTTTAGATTA